GGCATATGCTGCAAGCATGGCATTCCACGCAGCAGCATCCAATTCGCCCATGGTGTCGAATATTTGCTGTGCTTTGGATGTATGACCGTTTTGGGCATATGCGGCAAGCACTGCAGTCCAGGTGACAAGGGTTCGTTCACTCATTGAGTAAAAGATTTTCCAGGCATCTTCGAGATGCCCGTTTTGAGCATATGCCGAGAGCATCCCTGTCGTGGAGAAAATGTTGTGGTTTGGCACCTGATCAAAGAGATGCTTGGCTTTTTCGAGATGCCCGTTCTGGGAATATGAAGCTACCATTGTGCTTGTAGAAACTAAATTCCATTCGGGCATCAAGGAGTAGACTTCCTCAGCCTCTCTTAGATGCCCGTTTAGAGCATAACCAACCAGCAATGTATTCCATGATACCACATCCCTCTCTTTAAGCCTGTCAAACAAGTCTCTACACTCTTTGACGTCTCCTTTTCGAGAATATGCCAAGAGCATAGAATTCCAGGACAAGAGATTTCTCTCTTCCATGTTTTCAAACACTTCTTTTGTCTCTTTGATAAGGCCAGCCTTGGCAAATGCAGCCAGCATAACATTGCAGGAAACCACATTAATCTCATGCATAGAATCAAACAGAAACTTTGCTCTTTCCAGAAAACTGTTTTGAGCAAATGCAGAGATAATAGCATTCCAGCTGACCAGATCACGCTGAGGCATCAAATTGAACATATAACTTGCATTCCCTATGTCACCGCTTTGGGCGAAAGCTGTGATCATACAGTTCCATGTCATCAAGTCCCGCTCTTGCATGCTATCAAACATTTCTTTGGCCTTGTGGACGTGCCCGCTGTGACCATAAGAAACAAGGATGGCAGTGGAGGAAACAAGATTTCTTTCCGGAATTGAGCTAAACATCTGTTGAGCCTCAACAAATTCTCCAGACTCGGAGAATGCAACAAGCATTGAAGACCATGCAACGAGATCTCTCTCTGGCATTGAATCAAATACCAACTTTGCATCTTGAACATGACCATTCTCGGCAAGCGCACAAAGCATGGCAGTCATTGACACGAGGTCATACTCTGGCATTCGATCAAACAGAGACTTTGATTCTTTTATATGACCGGTACGAGCATAAGCAAGCAACATTGTGGTCCATGAAATGAGGTCTTTTTCCTGCATGACATCAAAGACTTCACGGGCCTCTATGATATGCCCTTTTTGGGCGTATGCCGATAGCAAGGCAGTCCAAGATATTAAATCCCATGCAAGCATAGCATCAAACAAACGTTTTGATTTCTGAATATCCCCCATCCGGGCATACGCACTCAGCATTATGACCCACGCGTAGCTGTCCTTGTGTGCAGTGCTGGTGAAGAGTTTCAAAGCTTCTTCCAGGTTCCCACATTTTGTGTACTTCTGAAGGATCATGTTGCACAAATGCTGGTCACATTGAAGAAAGTGTTGCAGTTTAGCATGGGCTTGTGTGATTTCTACAAAGCTCCTGCATGAGCGAACAAGTTGGATCCGTGAATTTCGATCCATATCTTTATTCAATGCAAATGATTTCATTGCTGGAAGGAGACGTCCGGCCTTTTTAACAAGCACCTCCAGTCTGAGGCCAAAGGAGCAAAAGGCATAAAACTCAAGAGATCCTTGGCATCCTCCAGATACCCACCTCGTGCAAGGAGGTCAATCATGCAACTAAAGTGCTGTTTCTTTGGGCAGTCAATGGCATAGTCAAGGGTTATTGACAGAAAGTAAGGCAAACCCCTTTTCATATCTCCCGTATGGCTGCAACTCTGAAGAACACATGTAAAACATACATCATTGGGGCTCTCTACAGTGCCCATCTCATGGAAAAACTCTATGCATTTGATCCTTTGCCCATTCTGGGCATATGCAGCAAGCATTGCGGTCCAGGTGAATGAATTATGCTTGGGCATGGAGTGGAATATCCTTTGGGCTTCTTCAAGGCGTCCTACTTGAGCGTATGCTGAGAGCATGGCAGTCCAGGATACAATGTCTCGCACTGGGATTTCATTAAAGAGCTTTTGAGCTTGATCAACATGACCACTTTGGGCATAGGCTGTTACCATTGTGTTCCATGATGAGGTGTCTTTCTCCCTGAGAGTGCTGCTAAATATTTTCTTGGCTTCAGAGAGATGCCCATTTTGTATATATGCTACAAGCATTGCATTCCACAAAGTAAGGTTGTGTTCTTTAGTTGAATCCAGTACAAATCTTGCAGCTTCTACATCTCCTGCTTGGGAATGTGTCATAAGCATAATGGTCATTGAGATTGCATTGTGCAAAGGCATTGTTTCAAAGAATTTCTTTACTAGTTCAAAGCATTGTTGTTTAGAGTACATATGTAAAATAATGTTCCATGAAATCAAGTCTTGCTCTTGCATTTCTTGAAATATAGTCTCGGCATCTTGAAGCTTATCAAATTTACAGCAAGCAGCTAACATAGTGTTCAAGGAACAAATGTCCCATGCAGGCATATTGTAAAACACCATTCTTGTCTCTTGAAAGTGCCCATTTTGGGCATGCGCATTAAGCAAAATGTTCCAAGATACTATATCAGCTTTGGGCATTTTTAAAAATACTGCTTCTGCTTCATGCAATTCTTTGTTAATAACATAAGCATCTAGCATAGAATTCCACAAGAAAAGGTCTTTATGCTGAATGTCATCAAAAATATGTCTTGCACTATATATATCGCCTTCTTGGACATATGCATTTAACATGGTAGTTAAAGAAACCAAATTGTACTCAGGCATCTTAGTAAAACACTTTTGTGTCTTATGAAAGCTGCTATACATGGAGTATGCAGACAACATTGATGTCCATGCAACAATATCTTGCAATGGCATTGTTAGAAACAAAGTTTCTGCATCATCAAGATAACCATGTCTGGTATATATTGTCAGCATTGTAGTCCAAAAAATTAAATCTTTATTAGGCATTTTTTCAAATAACAATCTGGCTTCCATTATATTTCCTAATCTCATGTATCCAAACAACAAAACTGTCCATGAAATAGAATCCTTTTCTTGCATTGAATTAAATAGGATTTTAGCATATTCAAGATGCCCTGCTGAGACATAAGCCTGTAACATTATAGTGCTTGAGATAATATTATGGTATGGCATTTGTTCATATAATAATTTAGCATGGATAACATCTGAATCTTTTACAAATGCATAAAGAATAGAAGACCATGAAAATATATTTTTCACTGGCATAGCATTAAAGACTTTAAAAGCTTTTCTACTATTTCCACCCCTTACATACTTTTGAATCTTCATATTAGAAGGAAGTATGTCCACTGTATTTTCCATTTTAGGGCATGTTTTAGTTAATTCACAAATTTTTAAGAAAGTTTTTAATTATAAATTATATTAATTAAGATGCTAATGTGATTTTAAATATTCATTGATATACAATCATCTTCCCCATTTAGGTTCTTAAAATTAGAAATATTCTACTATTTTTCATATACCAAATTAATATATTCTTTCACAAGGGAAAAAATTACATTTAATCCAGATATAATATTAAGCTATAGAATTTCATTATTATGTATTAAAATATGATGAGTCATTTAATATTAAAAGTTTATATGTTTGTTTTATAATTATTTATTTATCATCAACACTCCTTTTTTTATGCAACAAAAAAATATCACATGATTGACATTTGAATTGTAAGATTGAAATTGTATATTTAGTTATTGAAAGAACTTCTAAAGTAAACTATTTAACATTAAAACTTGTATGCTATTGTTATTAGAATGCATGTGTTAAGTAAACTCAAATAAAAAATTAAAATTAAAATTAATATACTACATAACTAAAATTTATGCTATTTTTACTTTTAATGCAATCAAATATATTATATAAAAATAATTTAGAATTAAATATCAAAGTACTTTGAACTTTGATAATAAATATATTAATCCAACTTTAATTTTTTTTCTTGTATACCTTTTAAAATGTAAATTACATTAGTAACAAAACTTTAAAAAAATGAATGTTTAAATTAAAAAACTTTTAAATGAATATTTTTGTAAAAGATAAAAATTAATAGAACAAGACACTCTAAAAGCTAATCTTCTTGGGCATCAAGGACTTATTTTATAACCGACTTAATAATCTCATAACATTAAATTTACTATGGTGCCACAAAATAACACTCTATGTACCACCAACTACTCGCACATAAATAATGCTACACTCTTAAGTTTGATATTGAAACATCCCTTTCATAACCATCAAGGGAATTAAAAAATGCATGTAAATGATGGTGACGTAATATTTAAAAGAAGCCATCGACGCAACAAACAATTTTGCAAATGTTTTCCTTAAGGAGTAAATGATTACAGAGCTCGTAAATACTATAATCACTAAGTCCTTCCAAAAACATTAAATAATTTTGTTAAAAAATTTAATTTTTTTATAATAATTACTACAAATATTTATAGAATTATAAAAAGTTATTTTTTAAAATGCATGAATTAATTTGAAATTGAATTTTATTAAATTAGTTGGTTATGCTGATGAGTTGTTAAAGTATATTCTGTCCATTTTTATATATCATTAATGTTTTTACTATTACTTTTTTTGATAGATTATTAATAATATATTGCATTTATATTATTTTTCAGTAGTTATTTTCTTGGCTCAACTATATTTCTATATTATATGTTTTTATATAGTTTTTAAATTTTAAATAATTCTATTAATAATTTATTTTTTTAATTAGTTTTTTTTAGTTATGTAGATAATGGAAAAGTGGAAAATCTTTAATAATGAGAGACTTTTATGTTGTAAATGCCAGTTTAAGTATATTTATTTGAAACAAAATAAACAAAAAAGCAGCAAGGATCTTTTAAATTGTTGCATTGCTAGATTGATTAATTTAAAAGATAACTATAATTTGGTAACGTAAAACTAAGAGAATGGGTTCATTGTATATAAGCGCACACATCTTTGCTGCTTGCAAATAAAATGGAAGTGACTTTTACATTGTTACTGACTGTAGCGCTAATGCTCAAGAGTGTAGAGGCAATGGAATGCATAAGCATTCAAGATCAAGATGTGCAGGTACCAGTAGAACTAGCAAAATTGAATTGTGGCAACTATGTCCTTAGCTTAGATGGAGCCTTCAATGTGGCCACATGACAATTACAATGATCTCAAGATGACACCAGCGAACAAGCCTGTTTTGTGCCCAAGGGGAAGCATACCTCTTCACAACTCCACTACCAGGAACAACACGAAGACACCATGTTTGATGTCGAGCGAATCATCGACGCGTTCCCATCGAGTAGCATAGAAATCTCTTGCATTGTCAGTTGATAATCGATTGACCATGTGTTTTCAGCATGCAGTTGCATTTGTTCGAGGAAAATTCAGAGGATTCAAAACAACCATCAACATATGGAAGCCTCGCGTAGAGCAGCCACGCGAGTTTAGCCTCTCTCAGTTCTGGCTTATCTCCTCTTACGATCGCCATGGAGTTCCTCGCAGCACAATGGAGGCTGGATGGCAGGTTAAAGCTTTGAGAGTGATGTTGTCCTTTCTAACACTGGATTTAGATCTACCCAAGCTTGTATGGTGGAGATGATCCCAGGCTCTTCGTCTACTGGACAGTTAATAGCTCTCGCATAGATTTCGAATTGATATATCTGTGCATGACAGGCCGATGGATACAACTCGACCGGCTGCTATAACTTGGGTTGTGACGGATTCGTCCAAGTTAGTAGCAGCATCGTGCTAGGCGGAGCAATCTCCTCGAGAACTTCCACAGCAGGCTCGACTCAAGTAGAGGCAGAGTTCCTCGTTTTCCAGGCAATTATCTTCCGTCCAAAGTCTCACAAAGTAGTGTGTGTTTTACAGGATCCAAGGAGTGGCAATTGGTGGCTGCGAGTTTCTGGATCCTACGTTGGTTACTGGAAAGCTTCCGCATTGCCAGACTTTGCAAACGGGGCTTCTGCGGTTTCTTGCGGAGGAGAGGTGCTCGAAGTCAAGGTACTCATTTTCTCCGTGGGAAAAGTTTGAGCTCCTCTGGCTTGTACTCCAGGCCAACAGGCACACACGGACCCAAATGGGAAGCGGGGCATTTCCAAACGCTCACTACAAATACGCCGCGTATCACCGGGACATCCAGATCGTCAATGCAAACTTCCGCTTGCAGCAGGCCCAAAACATGGCGAGGGTGGCGGTGAAAAAGCCCGGTTGCTACGATATTGGGACGATCCAGGATGCCGGGAGGAACACCAGCTGGGGAACATACTTCTTCTACGGAGGACCCGGCTACAGCTCCAAATGCGTCTAGCTTGATCTCAAAGAAACTGTGGTTGCTGGCTCTTCTTTCAAGCAAAAACCTTTCTCTTGTCCCAATGCAAAGCTGAAGGAAAGCAACAAGCAAAGCAGCCCTTGTAAAGAGGAATCCATTGCGCGAAATTCATGATATAGTTTGTTGACTCTCCCAAAGTTGCGGCGAGTTCTTTCCACTTAAGTTGAAACTTCTGGGAGCTTGTTTACATTCTAAAAAGCAAAGAGTGAAAATGGCAGCCATAGCTTCTCCTTCAGGTAACCCTCTGGAAAAAGTTTCTTGTCTGTGGCATTTTTTTGGTGAGTGCGAAGTCTACAAAGCATGAGATGGAATCTCAAATGAAATTTACAAGGGATTGGATGTTTCTACTTTTAAAAAGATTTGTATAGGCAAACAGTTGTGGTGGCTTCTTTCCACTCAAGTTTTCTAGCCAGTGTGAGAGCCTGGAGCAACTGTAACAATGGCAGCCACTGGTAGCTCCAAAGTTTCATGATATATAATTATATTTCATGATATATCTTGTGTGGCATTCCCTCTCTATCTGTGAGCTGGGGTAAATTTTTAGGGTTCGTCGCGGATGAGGGCCTCGATCAAGAGCAAGTACGAGGGCGGAGCCGCGGGGGAGGCGGCCACGGCCACGCTCGCGCTCGGGGTAGGCGATCTCAAGCTCAAGGCGTCGTGCACGGATGCCACATTTGGGTCGCGGTCGCCAGGCGGCCTGGCGGCGGCGGGGGTGAGCCTGGGCGTGGAGAAGCCCGGCTGCTTCATCATCGACCACGAGCTCCAGCCGGCGTCGACGCGCTTCCAGTTCATGAGCGCCGCCAATGTCGCGGGCAAGCAGGTGAAGCTCACGTACATTCACCCGCAGAAGCGCAACGCCACGCTGCTCGAGGCGACGCTCGCCGTGGATCCGCGCAACAAGCTCACGGCGAAGTATAGCTTTGCGTCGGGCAAGGGGCAGCTCAAGTACTTCTACCAGCATCCATCGCGCCTCACGCTGGAGCCCGCCTATGATTTTGGGACCGAGTCGTGGAGCTTCTCGGCCTCCAAGAAGATGGCCGATTGCCACACCTTGAAGCTCGCCTACGAGGCGCACCGCAAGGTGCTGGGTGTGGAGTGGATCAGTGATGATCCCAGGCTGGGGCCTTTCAAGGTGGCTGCGTCTGCGAATCTGGACAGCTCCAAGCCTCCCAAGTTACTGCTGGAGAAGACCTGGAACTATGAGTTATGATATTCTTTTTTTGAGGTTTCCTTTGAGAGTGTCTTTTTTATCAAGGGGCAACTTTGGGGACAATATTCCCACTGCGACTATTCAAATAAGCTAAAGCTCTTGTTTGTGTGAGGGGGATTATATAAAGAAAGGATGGCGGATCTAGCCACATTTACAAAACAATATTTTTTTCGGTTAGCATTTTTGTGCCTGACAACGAAGTAATGAAGTATAGACTAAGAAATTTAAAAAAAATGTTTGAACAAATTTTTTAGGGGTAAAGTTGTGCATAAAAAAGGATCTATGTTTTTAGATATTAGTTTATTTCCTTATTTTGAGTTGTATTTGAATGTTTAATAATAATAAATAATTAAAAAATAAAAGTGTTAATTATTATTGCTATATGTATATGTATTAGTTATTATCTAAATTTTTCAAAAGTATATTTTATTAAAATCATATGCAACATAACACCTCCACTTGTATAAATCAATTGCAGACAGTTTGAATCATTTTTAGCTCTTCCTCAAATTTATATATTTTAATGTAATTGCTATTAATTTTTTAGATTTAAATTCATTAACTATATTATAAATAATAATAAAAAAGTATAGTAGTAACATATATTTTCTTTAAATTTTATAAAATAAAATATAAAATGCCCCCTAACATTACCAATGATAAGTATTTGTCACAGAGTTTTTCATTTAAAACTAAATGTTAATTGAAATATTTTATCCTTTGTCTAAACTTCTTGTGTACATAATTCTCCAAGCTATGCTCACACTCTTGCTTAACCATCTTGAATGAACTTTTATATGTTTATTCTAAAATAAATTAATTATGAAATAATTTATATGAAACTTAGTAAAAAATAAAATTTATTTTAACACTTAAAACCATGTGTGAACAACCTTTCCTTTAGCAAGCTTAAACACAATGTCGCTAATTAAAATATTACAAGACCAGAGTGCCCGTAAAAACATGCTCAGCAGGCCCACTCATGTAGACGTGGTGATCCGACGCTCTCCATTCCACTTCCAATTTGCCCCCGGGCAAATCCACAATGCAGTTCTAAGAAAAAAATTATAAACATGTCTGTGTGTGTGTCTGTGGCGTGAGAGAGAGAGAGAGATTTTCATACTTTTTTAGCTCTTCCTTCCAGCACAGCGGCCACAAAGGCAGCACAAGCACCCGTTCCACAAGCCAATGTGATCCCTGCGAAGAAAAACACTAGTTCCTTTGAGAGAGCTTCAATCTCTAGGCACTTGCCTGCGCCTCTCTCCCACACTCGAACTTTTAAATGAGAAAGAGAGATCACTTCCACAAACTCTGCGAAGAAAGAAAACAGTGGCACATATCAAAAGGAATTTAAAAAAGAGCCAACCTGCATTTGTTTTCTGGGGAAACTTTTCATGGTTTTCAAACAGGGGGCCGATCTTCTCCAGGGGCAAAGTACTAAGATCAAACAAATGCTGCACAGAATGGGCCTTGGTAAGAAAAACTAAACAAAAGAGTGTTTTTTTTTTTCCATAGATTTTTACCTCTTCGTGTTCTTCTCCAAAGGTTACGCAGTGTGGATTTCCCATGCTCACACAAGTCACAAGCCACGTCTTGCCGTCCACCTCGAGTGGCTTTTGGATGACAGTTCCATCAAAATGCCCGGGCAGCAAAGTTGGAATCCTGTTTCCATTGAGAATTGGTATTCCCATGTCTACTAGCACCTGGAAGAAGGAAGAAATCTAAGAAAAAATGTTAGAGTTTGCGTAAAGAGGGAGCTCACCTGGCCGTCCTCTTTCAACGTTGGAATGATAGTCCCAGCTCCTGTGTGTATTTTATAACTGGGAGCTTGTTACAAGCTCGGAAATACGCTTCTTTCAGGGAACTGAAAGCGAGAAAGGATACCTTCGATTGCTCGTTATTGTTCTTCCCTCGAGTTCTCCTATGAATCGAGCCATACAACGAATCCCATTGCCACACATCTACAAGTCCATGGAGATTAAGAACAAAGAGAGATAGGAGTAAAACGTTTGCCTCTGGTTGGCTGCCGTCGGGGTTATAGATATGCATTGTGTAGTCGCAGCCATGGACGCCAGGCATGACGAGAATGACTCCATCGCTCCCGACTCCAAAGTTTCGGTTGCAAATCCTTACGGCATCTTCTTTGGAAAGTTTTGGTTCGGCAGACTCGCGATTATCCACCTAAAGAAGTTGTCAAACCATCAGAAAAGATATCTCTTTGCAAAGAAAGAATGAAACACCAAAATGGAAGTAACAACTTACAAGAACAAAGTCGTTTCCCAGACCTTGGTACTTGGAAAACTCCAAGATTCCCTGCAATGACAACAGGAAAGAGTCCTCACTCTCTCCAAAGAAAGAAAGAAAGAAACGCTACGAGAGCCTTACCCGAGAGCTCTTTCTCGTTGACGCCAAGTGACCCAATGGCTTGTGCTGGACCGCCATTCTCACGCTTGGCCTTGCATCGTTCCTGGCTTTGCGCAACGAAGAAATGCCACAACAAGGAGCCCAACGCTGAGAAGCGGCAGCCATGCTTTCTAAAACCCTAGGTCATTCCAGAGTTTTATTTTACTAAAGTGCCACGTTACCTTTAAAAAAGATTTTGCCCTTAATTCGATGGGATGAAGGTTTAGGGTTTTCGAGCGATGGCGATGATTCTTCGCAGGCGCTTGAGCGATTCTCTCCTCCGGCTGCGCCCCCTGTCTCGCGCATTCTCCGATTCTACTGCTCCCACCCCCGGCGCTGCGGCGCCATCGGATTCACAGCAAGCAGAGGCTCGGCCCGTGCAATTGGTCCCTCCTTTGCCCGTTGTTCCCGAGAATTCCTTCTGGACGACGCTGTCTCCATCCTCGCGCACTGGTGAGTGAATGTATATTATTTTTGTGTGTATTTCCATCTGCATTTCTTGTGATTGATCGATCGTTTGAGCGATGTGCTCGCAGTGTTTCCCAAGGACGTGAATGAGTACAGCATTCGGGATTTTCTCAAGTGTTTCGAGGGCTTTGATGTCTACCATGATAAGTTGGCCCGCAAGTGCAAGACTTTCAAAGACTTTTTGCTGGTCAGGGTCAAGGTTCTCAAGAAGATGAAAATGCCTCGCAATCACGTAAGCTTTGCCTGATTTTCTTTTTGGATTTGGTTTCACTGCATGTTGTTCTTGTTGCAGAGAAAAACCATAATCAAGTTCACGCACCGGTACAGAATGGGCATCTGGAAACCAAAACCACTTCCTCGGGCGTCGTAGCGAACTGAGATGGTCTGTCCGATTTCGAAGATTTTGAAGAGTTGGTTTTGAAGTTTCTTTTGGCCTTTGCAGGAAGGATTTGCATGCTGCTTTTTGCTGGACAGCATCCATTCCTCCCTGGAAGGCTGGGAAAGACGATCGTAGTCCTCCAACTGGACTGGTTGGCTTTTGTGTAATCACAACTCATGTCTGAAGGCGCTGTGACAGTGCAACTTCAAATATCCTTTATGTTTCTCTTTTCATTTTCTTTCTTTTTCTGTTTCCAGAGTTTTGACAGGCTAAATGCTTGAAGAGGAGTACCAATCGAAAACACTCGACTCCTCTGGCCCGAGACAACGACAACCAGAGAGCTCGAGACATGCTCCACCGGTCAGTCGGACAACGCAAGTAGCTCTTGCGCCATCTTCTCGTCCAAGGTGCGTCGTTTATCCCTTTCCTCGTTCGAACTCGCCACTCACAAGCGCGAGCGGATTGTGACGTCCAGGCTTCCAAAAGCGACTCTTTGGCCCACGAGACAGAGGGACACAGACGTCCCAAGCTCCCAAGTCACGGACGTTGAGACGCGCTGGCAGCGCCAAAGGATCCGCCAAATCCTGCTCTGGAAGAAGAGAGAAGGATCTTTCCGGGAGTACTTCTCGGGCCCAGGAGAGAGACACGGCAGCCTTATAAAACTAGTTGTGGACGCATCCAGCGGGCGAGAGGAGGAGGAGGAATACTTACATGAGAAGAAGTGCTGGAGCTGCCGCGCTACCCGTGACCCAGTCGTGGCGTATCTTTTGGTGGTATTCCGCGACACGGGTGGTATAGTCCTGCTCGAAAATGCCTAAGCTTTTGCAGATTCGTTGGCTTGCTGTCACAGTACTGGACGAAGACGTACGTGTGTATATGTGCTCCTTCACGTGAATTCTTTTTTATCTTTTTCTTCTTGAGTGGTGAGAAGTCGTGGGGTGATTTTGTCTGGATGAATTTTTGAGGTTCTTCCAGCTTTTGATAAAGAATGGAAACTTGGGAAAGGTTTTTGAGGTTGATCATGGTTCTTAGATCGCCCAGGCTTTAAACTAGTAGTAGCTTATCATCATCAAGCTCCTGTGAGTGTGCCAGAGTCACGGGAAGAGAATCAAGCAAGAGTCCAAACAGAAGCAAACAATACTCTTTTCTTCTGAGTACTTTCTTCTTCTTCTTCTTCTGCTTCTACTTCTTTCATCTTCGGATTCTTATATCTTGCAGCAGTGATTCTATGCCAAGACAATATTTTATAATTATCAATTGTAATAAAATACTGCGAGGTAATATTAAAAAACAGATATTTCCGTTTTTAAAATAAAAAATACACGATAGGTGCACAGAGCCCAAAAGCGTTTGTAGAATGTGTCTGTCGTGAATGTTTGTCTGTTTGAAAGGAGGAGAAGGTTCTTCTTGACCCCACGCGGTACGTACGTGGAAAAATTTCCATAGTTATATTCTTCAAATCTCTACATTGGCCATTTGATTACAAACAACAACGTGCTTATTAGATCTCTTGGAGGATGCACAGGCAAAAGAAAAGGCCCAAAACAACAAAAGGGCATCACATCAGATTCGCAAGTTGCCAGGTTCAGGCATTTATAAAATAGTTTGGGCATTTGCACATACTTCATTTGTAGCATATTCGTCAAGTTATCGCGATCAGAGCCCCAGAATCACAAAAACGGTGGTGGTAAAATAGAACGGGATACGTATACATGCATGTATGTACACATATAACATAAAACCACGAAGAAGATTCCAAGGATCCACTCACTCACACCGAAGTAGAAGAAGAAACTGAGCACAAAACAAACAATATTATGGCGTACACAGTACTTATAAACTTTGGCAGCCGCAGCTGGAGTTTCAGCTACCTATCTACACCTACGCCTATACGTATACGTAACGTAGACTTTCGCTGTCCGTGATTGGAGTGGGTTTAAGCTACGCGATCTTCATTCTCATGAGTGATCCGCAACCATTTTCATCTGGCAATAAAAGTTGACCGGGGGTTTGTTTTGCGTGAAAAACAAACCGGTCTCTTTCTTCGAATCCTTTTCTTTCCCCCAGGCCTGTTAGAAGGTTAGGGTTGTTTGCGCCAAAAGACGAGCTTCTGTACCGCGTAATCCCTTGCTTTCTTCGTTTAAAAACCAATCTGGACGTACGTCTAAGGAGATCTTCGTCATCCACTTGGTTTTGAGCCGTAATAATGCTCTACGCAGGAGCCAGCCACCACCACCTTTTGAACAGCGAGTTATAAGATGGGTATTATAGAGACAAGCAGCGCAGCCACACACACACACTCTCACACATATATCGTTTTTCTGGGACCACGTTATACGTACCGACGAGGCTTCCTCCGTACAAGGTACACCACCCGTGATTCTTCAGGTTCTTGTTCCCGCTAATTATTCGTGCTTTGTTTTGGAGAGGGAAGTTTAGAGAGATTTCAAGAGGATCATGGACGGAATAGTGTAGATATTTCTAAAGATCTATATGATGCTTTGATAGTCTTACGTACCCATCCATGCGACCTACTGCCGATGGATGCAAAAATGCAAGCTTGATGATAGATGCTGCCTCTTCGGCATCCTCTTCTTTGTGTTGGTCGGGTCTGCGCGTCTTAGTTGAGGATTTACAAGGTGATAAACTGGTTCTTGAATGACGATTAAAGTTTGTAGCCTTCTTATATATGAGCTGGTAGCACTTAGTGAAACCCTATACTTTATGCAGGGGGGCAGTGTGTCTTTGTCTGTGTTATTGTTGGCGTATGGAAAGTATTTACCACCAAAGTTGTTGTCCCGCAGTGTCTAGAAACAAGTGATCATTCAAAGATGAAGAATTCAAACCAAGAGAACGATTTGGAAACGCTCTTCTTTCCTTCTCACAATATCGATCAATAAAACGCAATCAAGTCTTCCAGAGATCTCCACGGGATTGAGCTCCTTTAAAACCACACCAAGTCAATCAAGCTTCCTTCTTCTTCCATCGCAAAGACGAGCCGAGAGATCACTCTATATCATTCACGTAACTATGAAGACAACGAAGGCACATTACGTTACCTGTACACTTAAAACTCTACGGTGGTCATGGAGGAGCGAAACTCGTGACTCTCTCGCCTTGCAAGAGCCAGGCTTATGCGGGTAATTGCTGGGATTAAGACGCACTACACAAGACAACAAAGATCTCACAGGGGGGAAGCAAAGACGTGAACAAGCGATCGCTTTCTTTCAATCAAACTTCACCTCTCCAAATCTCTCGGAGTCTACTCATCATCAGATTCTGCATTGAATGCCAGAAAGGGGAGGAAGGAAGCTCCCTTTGTCAACTTTTTGGATTGGAAGTTTATCTCTAATCACACTTAAGATGATCCCGGCCTCTAAGCAGCAGGGAGTACTTGCGATTAGTGGATTAAGCACAGGAGCGTGGCTGCATTGCATGGGCTTTCTTTTGTACTAACGTGGACTTTTTTGCAAAGGGGATTTGATGTGTAGCACGAACCATCTGTCTTTCCAGAGATTCAATGACCTCTTTGCCACCGATTATTTAATGAACACACGCGTATCCCAACGACTTGCTTTGCTATCTATGTTCTTCGTTTTCCATCGTACCACCTATCTAGAGCTCTATGGAATTTTCTTTCTCCTCCTTTTCGTCTGCTGTCCGTAACAAAAATGGGTTCCTTTCGAGTAAATTCCCTGTTAAGCAAGGAGCAAAAGAAAGAACAAGTCCAAGAAAGAAACGAGCTTGAAGAACTCTTGTCCCTGAAAGTTACAAAGAATGTCTTTAAATACTTTCTTACACAAGTAGTATATGTATACAGTGTCATATATCTCAAATCATGCACAGTTGATGGCATGAAGAACATGGAATAGTTACAGAGCCATGGCTGCAGCTCCAGCATACTCCAGTGCAGCAGCAATTCTACTGCCACCACCACCACATCAATTGAATCAGTAGCCTACTCCTGAAGATTATCCATAGTGATCATAATCTAACCACACCGCACTGCGGAATTCATGATTCCACTGTTGCATGCAAATAACTTCCAGAAGAAACAAACAAAGACTGGAAGAAGCAAAAGGAAGAAAAAAAGAGAGAAGAAAAGAGCGCGGCTTTTTGGAACAATCTGGAACACTAAAGTCTTCGTCTTCTTCTTTCTTCTTCCTTCGTCTTTAACAGACAGATTCAATGCACACCCTTTCCCCTTTGATCGACACGAATAGGAATCGCAAGAGTAAAAAGAGAAAAGAATCCATTTAAATCGATCCTGGATCTCATGATCCATTCAGATGCAAACTCTATCGTCTCGTGATGCTCGGAGCTTGAGCCATGGAGCCTCGCTGCGAGTGGACGGCATGAGCTCCAGCTCGATCTTGGCGGCCTTGATCACCGCCGCGTCTTGATTGTCGGCCTGCTGATCCGGATGCAAGCGTTTCCTCCCATGCAAAACCACTCCAAACAGCTTCGGACCGGCAGACTTGATCATCCCACCTGGACTCGTGTGGTCATCTTCAACATCCCGTTGCTGATCATCAACGCTAGCTCTCCCGGGAGATGATGGTGAAAACTTGGCAGCCGGCCTCGCGGCTGCCGCGGCATTGAGCTCCCGCAGCTTTCCATCCACGAAATCGATCGTCGAGGCCCGCGGAGCAGCGGCATCCATCCCCAGCAGCTTGCTGCTCCCGACAACCATACCGCCTCCAATTAAGCTGGAAGTTTGGTGTTCTTGAGTCGACAGTGGTGACGGCGGAGGCATCTGGTGTCGGAGGAGTTGCGGCTGCCTGCTGGTGGCGGAGCTCATCATCATCGCGCTGGTGCGGGGGAAAAGACGATCGTGATCCCCGGCACTTGCACCGACAGGACTGGACCTCATGTTGTGCTGAAGGAAGAGCAGCGCGTCGTCGTAGAGCTTCTGGAGCCTGGCCAGCTCCGAGAGCAGGATGCAGTTGTCCCGGCGGAGCCGCTCGTTCTCATCGGACAGGGAGAGCGATGTGGCCGTGACCACCGCTGCAGTGCTGCTGGCGCTGCAAATGCCCCTTGGAGAGTGCAGTGGCGACGACGACCATGCCGCGGCTGCTGCTGCTGCTGCTGCTGCGCTGGAGTTGCATGCAAGCTGCTGGGGATCGTCGCCGGATGTGGACGGCGAGAGCGAGCCGTAGTGCTGGAGATGCGCTAGCGAGCACTGCGCCTTCCTCCGGTGGATCTCGCACAGCAAATGCCGCTCGCCCTTGCGGAAGAAATCGTTGGCAAACTCCCATCTGTCGGGGACAACCTTGCGGAATCCCTGCAAGAACGCGACGATAAGATGATCAGATCGGAGAACAAGTGAGAGCTTCAAGGTGATTCGAGAGACTCACATAGGTGTTGAGCTGCCGCACGAAGCTGGAGAAATTGTTGTGCTTGAAGTAGTTTGGGAGCAAGTCGCGGGCGAACTCTGGCGGCCTCCACACGACGAAGGTGGAGCCGTCTTCGCCCCACGAGACGATGTCGTTGGAAGCGGCATCGTCGACGAGCTGATACGTTTTGGTCAGGAATGGCGCCGGCACAACTCGGTGCGAGTCCACCGATAGGACGCAGCCATCGCTGCTGTCGAACGAGAGGGCCATGCTATCTCTCGACTCAAGATGTAGTTCCAGTTCTTCTTACACTACTCACAAGAAACAAATGCAAGACTGTAGATTTGGTAACTCTCGATCTCGGTCTCGATACTCCTACGAAAAGAATGAAATGAATCGCAAGGGACCCTGGGCTACAAAGAAGAAGAGAACGAAGAAAAGATTAACAACGACGCGATGGAGCTCGCGACGATTTCTTCCTTCCACATATGCATGATCGATACACAAGCACAATGAATCGAAAACAAGAATGATCTAGAGAAAGCAAAACAATAAAAACCAAAACTCGCGAGCCTCTTTTCTCTTGCGCTTCGTTTGGACACGCACAAAATGCTGTATGGGCATTCAAGCCCGGAGAGTACAGGGCTGGTATATACCAATAGATAACACGGAACTGACGGGCTTGAAGGGCGTGAAAACCGTTAGGTTAAAACCTATGGTAACCTACGCTTTTGGTTCTACCGCCGTTCACGGCGGCGGCGGCACGGTACACGTGTCAGTCTAGATTGTAATACTTACTCAGCTCTGCTTAGCATGTAGAAACAGTTTTAGTTATCATCTTAATCTAAACTGCAAATAATTCCGTTTGCCTCTCTCTTTGAGAATCTATGCATTGATCTCTTCAATAGCTTAAACAAACCGTCCCTGAAATCATTTGCGAAGACCAGTCCGACTTCTTAGAGACGATTTCTTCGTTCTCCAACAAAACGAAGAAGTGTACTCTCCCCTGTTCTTGGCCAAACCAGCAAAAAAAGAAAAAAGGATTTAAAACCACAGGAACAAAGAATCGGAAGAAATCACTCACCCAACATCCAATCCAGCTCTCGATCTCGATCGACCCGCATAAAAAAAGTTGTAGCAATCCATGGCGCCTTGAAACTTATAAAAATCTCGCCATGCGAATTGATGTCTCATCCGGCTTGCTTGTCGTCGTCTTTTCATGTCAACGTCGATTTCACGTAACGCCTACTACTCGTCTTCTTGTTTGAGCTTTTCTTCTTCCTGTTATACTTATCTTTTTTTGCTTGCTCTTGTTGGATCAACACGGCCTGCACAACCACCGAGACTTGTATCCAATTAGTTATCTGGAAACGAGGATACCCACCGCTCTCTCGCTCTCCCCCTCTCGCCTCGCGTTGATGGAGTTTCTAGACATTCGATGTTCTCTTGCTTGTCTTTGGTAGACACGCGGCGCCCGCGACTACTCTCGAAGCTTTGGAGTTTTAAAACAATGCTTGTGCTGCGCGGGAAATGGCGAAAGCGGTGAGCGCGTCTGATGGACACGAGAAATGAACAAGGATCCTGAAAACACACGCAAAGGAAGTCAGCAGTAAACAAAGGAAGAAGAAAAAGAAAAAATCTTTTTCACCGCGAAGAATTGGTAGTCATGAAACTTTTCTTCTTCGCTACGGCCATGCATTCTCTCAATCACGGTAAAAAGTTGTCAATATACTGTAGCCAACGGGCATCAGTAACACTCACGTCCTGAAAATACGAGCCCAAACTTAAGAGGATTTACCATCGTCATCGCCTGGGCTAAGAAGAAAACATACAAGACGTTGGAACAAACTCTAGACAGTAAAAACAAAAATTCACCTGACAACATTCTCAGCTCGCAAGGAAGAAAGGCGAGAATGCGTCAAGGAGCCAGTAGAGACACAAACAACAGTCCGCTGTAAATGTAAATCCTGCCAAGCCACACTGAGTAACAGCAGCACAAAGAAAAAGTTACCTGAAGCAACAGTTACATCATTGGCCAGAGGACGTTGTTGCATATACCAAATCCAGCCAGATCCATCAGAAAATGCAGCTTGAGATTTCATAAGGCTTGATGTTCGCTGGCAGATAGAAAGCGACTCCTTGAAGTGCCTGAGGAAGGACAGCTCCATCCATAAAGACGTTGAACAGGCCACCAAGCTGAATAAAATAATGTATTCAGCTCCTCTGATCCTGTGGTGGTGAGCGCGTGAGTGGTGAGCCTCTGGAGCATGGAATGCTTCCTCCGCCCGAGCCTCCTTCCTTTTATCGGTTTCACATTTCCTGTTTTAAGTCAAACAAGCAAGTGTCAAAGGCTGTTCAGGAATTTACCAAAATGTACCAGTACTCAGACAAATACCATACAGTAACTGATGTGTACCAGGAGCAGCAATGGAGCACGACAAAGAATACGACGCCCTTGAAGACTCTGGCCTTCCTTGTACATATTTAGTTTCTCTAGAGAACACCGAAGCCATGTAGCTTAAGTATTAGTAGTGTAAAGAAAAACGAAGGACCACCACCAGACCGGACGGGAGGCCTTGGAGCGCGGCACCACGGTGTCTAGCAAAATGTGGCCGACTTAAACTTGAGAGGATACGCAAAGGAGTTGGAGTAGGAGAACCTGATAACCATGCCGTGCTCGAGAGGATTACCGTTGTTTACCAGGCAATCGTCGTAGTTGACGCGCTTGAAAACTTTGGGATTGACCAGAGGGGCCGAAGCAAACCACCCGCAAGCCAAGTGTATGTCCCGAGGAGCACAAGGGGACATGCAACTGTTGACGATCTGAACAGTGTACTGAGGAATCCCAGGCGACCCATCCTGTCTTTGGGAAACGCTAATGTCTGTGTAGGTACAAGCACGGCGACCTGCAGGCGAACGTGGAATGCAGTAAGATAGATCAACCATTGGAAAGAACGGAAAAAGAACAAAAACAAAAAAAGAGACCAACACGTTCAAGTACACGGAGAAAAGTGATCGAAACAGTCGATCCTGTATTAATAGAGGAGCAAATTACACGCACGAAAGAGGGGAGAAACAAAAACTAGCAAAGGTCTCCGTTTATACAATTCCAGGAGGAGGAACTAGGAGCTGCAAAACTGTGGGGGGCTCTTATGTACACAAAGCAAAGGAAGAAAAAAAAAACTCTCCACGATGCCACCATCGCTACGAGGTATAACGAAAGCGCACCAGAAGAAACGAGGCCAAAACTGACACCAGCGGGCTCGGGGGAAAAACTTACTGGCAACTCTTGGCTGAGGAGACTTTCATCGGGTACTCAAAGGAATTGGCATACTGGAAGTTGACACTATCACCCCCTTTGATTGCCTTCCCGTCATTGACGAGGCAGTCATCGTACTTAAGCCGCCGGAAAATCTTTGGGTTGACAAGCTTGGTTGAGGCAAACCAACCACACGAGACATGGACGGCGGACATAGAACAGTCATGGAGACACAGGTTGATAATCTGGACGGTAAACGTTGGGATGCCATTTGGAAGAGGGGCGGACTGGCCTTGGAAAATGCTAATATCAGAGGTCGTGCACGAATCGGCAAGGCGGTCTGCAATGGAAAACTACCTCCCATCAGCATGTAGTAGCACTCTCTCCACACAAGCAAACAAAGGCAAAGCAAAGAAGCGGACACTCGGAAGAAGTCACGTACAAACAAAACACAAGCCAAGCAACACGACACTAAACTCTTATCACCACAAGAAACGAAAGAAAAAACTATACGGGAGGAAGAACCACGTACCAGCAGTGCTAAGGAGCTTCCGGTTTCTCATGATCTGATGATTGAAAGGATGATAGCTTGCATTGGTAGCATTTCCCTCGCTATTAACACCAACAGTGGATATGGAGACTCCTGTGTGAAAAAGAAGCAATCGATGAGAAAATTCCAGTGCCCCATTCATGAACATGCAAATCGATGGGTACCTGGTCGGCTGCCAAACATTTGATCGGATCCCAGGAAAACGAGGCCGAGCAAGGCGATGAGGAGTAGACTAGCGGCGGCGGCGGCGGCGGAGATGGAGCAGCCAAGGGGCCTGCATTCTCGTGCCATGACGCGATGCGGATGATCCAATCCTCTCATGCAGTCGCCGGCGATGAGGATTATCGTCGATCGAGTGATCGGACCGGAGAAAGAAGTCGAAATTTCAAGCTTGCGATGGCTGCATGGCGCAATTAGAGAAGAAAGATCTGGCGGAATTTCGGCCGCTGGAGCGAATGCGCGGGCAGGAAACGAGAGATTTCACACAGCGCACCCGGCGAGCAAGCCCTAAGAGCGATCCATCCCGGAGAATCGACGAGAGATCGGTGGATTTGAAGGCGCCGAGCAGGGAAAAGATTCCAGAGGGGCGGCGCTGGGCAAGCGCGACCGATGTGGAGACCGATGTGGATCCGATGTGCCTCCGCCGTAGAGAAGCGCCGAGAGAAGCGCTAGAGCGTCCAACGCTTTGTGAAACCTAAATGTGGATCATTGGAGGAAGAAGAAAGAGAGGAGAGAGAGAGAGAGACGAGCACGAGAGCACGAGAGCACGCCAGAAAATGGAAGACGAGAGGCCTTAAGGACAGGGTGCCGGTGGAAATGTGGCCCTGTCCTAAACGACCTCCGCGATCCAACGGCGGGGATGCGCCTATTGGATCTTTACGTTTCAGTTTTTATGTTAGTGTAACGGGGCTTTTACTGCGGTGTTTAATTCCAGTCACCCCCCAGTTGCTTTTAATGGATGGAAACGAGCGGGCGGCCACCGGTCACAGTCTCGATTCCCTCCAAGATCTCCTTAGAAAATTGGCGATTTTGATGGAAAGGGGAACTATTTGATAAAGTTGACAAGCACGTTGAATCACGTAAAAGATCGTCTTTACAATAAGCGGCGTGCTAATTTTTTTGGCTTATAATGATCCTTTCGGGAAATGGAATCTTTCCTGATCGTGGAATAACAAAGCAAGCATATGCGAATAGATTAGAGGATTTGTCCCATGATGGAGGCATTGTCGTATCGAGTCTCCATATCTTTGCTGCGGATCCTTCCTTTTGTTTGGAAGCAAGCAACGTGTGTGGAAAATGGGTATATCGCCGCGATGCACGCCACACATTGACAGGGCCACGGCATTCAAGGAAAAATCAAACCTATCATTGGAAGGATCTGTCAAGCTTTAACATCATTGGTTAGAAAAATCCACGCCGGAAGAATCGGACGGCGCACGCGCGCTTGAAAAATTCCGGATCGTAATCCTCTAGTAGTTGGAACGCACAGATACCGTTAAAGAATAGTCTATAAAAGAGATGAAGCTTCGACTTAAACAGTTTGGACTGTCGGGTTATGCTTTGAGCCAGGGGCCAGAAATGGGAACCGATTTGGCCACCCTGATCATCACTCATCCATCCAATACACCACCACCAAAATATATGTGCTAGATCTTGGATCAGTGTGCGTTACAAAGGCTTTTTATTGGCTCCTAGTGGCAGCCTTTTAACTGTTAGGCAAAAATGGCCGTTAGGGGACTTTTCCAACTTCCAGCTTACCGGAAATTGGCGGGGAAGGGATTCGATCCCGCGACCGCTCACTAGTACGCGAGGAGCATTCCAAAGCGAAACATGGCTAGCACTGTGGACGTGAGCAAAGACCACGAGAGGAGCGTCCACCATGCGAAGAATTGCGCTGCTTGTGCCACGAATCCAAATCCTCCTGGAGAGTTTGAAGATGGCGATGGCGATCGAGAGAGGCCCGCGAAGAGGATGAGCAGCACTGCCGGGACCAAGTTCTGGATTGCTACCCGGCACATGAAGTGGTTTACCACCAAGATCTTGTGTTTGAGCGCGGCAGCGTCCGGGGTCTTGCTACCGTGCAAGCTTTCGTACCACGCCAGCACTCCCAAGTTGAGATACGCTTGGACGTTGATCCGGAGCAGCAGCAGCTGGATCACTCCTGTTAAGATCATCCCGACGAACTTTAGATCCTGGAAGGTCTCTGGAGAGAATCCTACGCTTCCAGCCCAGTCTTTGCCTTCAAACAGACTTCTTCGTTGCCATTGCCACCCGGTGCTGCCATGGTCGATGGAGTTCTTCTCGGGCAACCGGATGAAAAGATCGGCCATGGGTTTCAACCAAAGTAGCGTTGAGACTACCGGGAGGACAATACCGAGGTTGAGGAGAAACTGGCTCCAAACGCTGGTTTTGATGACCGAGATATCGCATCCAAGCTGGTTTGTTCCAATCCAGAATGATCTCACGTACTTGAGAACCGGCCCCAGGAAGAGTCCCGTGAGCCATGCCGCTCCAAAAGCTATGGCTAGCCGAATTGCCGTGAATGATCGCTTATCGATTCCAGCTCCAGCTACTGCCTGTTCCAGCCGGAAGTCGATGATCTCGCTTGGAACCACGAAGAGGAAAATGCTGGCCAGGATGAATCCCAGGAGCCCGACACCGCAGCTTAGAACCCACTCCGAGTTCCTGGAGGAGTGCTTGTCCCAAGAAACTTTGGAGAGAGTGTGGAGAAGCTTGAGCACGCAGAAGGTGGTGGCGATCACGGGGATGAATCCATCGCTACTGTTGCTGCTGCTCGAGCCCCCATTTTCGGATCCAGAAGATTGGAAGGAGAAAAACTCTCTAGCAACGAGGAGCGACACAGGCAGCGCAGCATACAACACTGCCCGATCGTACTCTGGGTAGTACCTGGTGTTCTCCAAGTAGGAATCGCCGATTGTGACCCTCAGGATCTCCGATCCGCCCTCGTTCCACACGAATTTCTCCCTGGAGTTCTTCTTCCTGGAGGATTTCCTGTTGTCGTCACTGCCCGCCCTAGAACCTGGATTCCCGTCGGCCGGATCGTCCGGGAGCAAGTAGGCGTGCGATCCGAAGAGGCTGATCGCCGCGATCTTGCCCGCAAACACCAAGAACACCGTGATCGCCGACGCCGCGGCGTACACCCCGGCATTGAAGAGAGACATAAGCAAACCCTAGATCTCGAAAGAGAAATATTATTTGCCAAATCGGGCAATGCCGCGAGATTCCTTGGCGAGCTAGCGATGAGATCATACTTCTCTGGCGACATTGTTTGGCATACCTAAGAGAGGGTTAAAACCCTAGATCTTTGAATGCGTTGCGGGGATGGTGTTCTTTCCAATCATTCTGGCGCTTGCGATGGCGCTGGGAGCTGGGGCGATCCGCGAGCACGGCGGCAGCACAGGTTAGGCGATCGATTGATCGGCATTGTATTTCTTTGATTCACAGAGTTTTTCTTTCAGCTGTATCATCTGGGAAATTTGCTAACAAGTAAGAAGATTTTGCTGCTGTCGATGCTTAATTCGTGTGGGATTTCCAGGTATTTGAGTAACACCGAGCTTGAGGATTGGCTCAAAGATTTCTCCGTGCGCTGCGGGAGAATTTCAAGGCTGAACAGGTCAGAGTTTGTCATTCTCTTTGCCAGAGAAAAAGAAAACGATAACATAGTTTGCATTGTATTGCAGCATTGGAACATCTGTTCAAGGCAGAGATTTGGTACGTTTCCATTGTCTTCGTTCTCTCGTTTTAACTTTTTCTTCTTCTTCTTTTGTGCAGTGGGTGCTCGAACTTTCAGACATGCCTGGACAAGCTGAAGCAGAACCCGCGTTCAAGGTGTGAAATTTCTTTATTTCCTTTTATCTGTTTACCAAGTTCTCGGGCATTTTCAGTTCGTGGGAAATATGCACGGAGATGAACCAGTGGGCCGGGAGCTTACAATACGCTTGGCAGATTGGTTGTGTATGAATTATAAAAGGGATGCCATGGTAAGAGAGTGAGTTACAAGTTTGTAACGCGTTCTACTTCTATCTCTACGCAGGCGACAAGTATTATTGACAACGTGCACCTTCATCTTCTTCCATCAATGAATCCCGATGGATTTGCGAATCGATCGAGGAACAACGCTAACAATGTAGACCTGAATCGAGATTTTCCTGACCAGGTAGGTATTTGTGCATCGCCCTTGCTGCCAACGGTTAGCTCTAAGGGTGTTGGCCGTCCTCAGGTGCTTTGATTGCCGCCTAACTTGAAGAAGCCCTCTACAGTTTTTCCCTCAAAATAATAACGAGGCAAGGAGGCAGCCAGAAACACTGGCGGTAATGAAATGGATCAGGCAGAATAATTTTGTAGCTTCTGCAAGCTTGCATGAGGTACTGTCGTTTTCTTTACCTTTCATTTTTTTAATTTATATATAATTTTGTTTACATCTCAGGGTGCTTTAGTAGCAAATTATCCATGGGATGGCAACGTAGATAAAAGGTTTTTCATCGTTAGTTTGATCCAAACAAGTGTCTGACTTTCTAGTTTATTTGCAGTTCGAAGTACGCGGAGTCTCCTGACGACTCTACCTTTCGTTTTCTTGCTTCAGTGTACAGCAAAGCCCATCGGAACATGTCTAAAAGCCATGAGTTTCCTGGTGGAATAACAAATGGCGCAGCATGGTTTGTACGTGCAGTTTTCTGGTCAAGCCTTATGTGCGTTGAATCTGGATTCAGGTATCCTCTCTACGGAGGGATGCAGGATTGGAATTATATTCATGCTCGCTGTCTTGAACTGACGTTAGAAATTTACGACACCAAATGGCCACCAGAAAGTCAGGTTTGCGTAAAGTTTTACGAAACGGGCCAGTCTTTACAGCTCGAGTGTTGGTTATTCAGATTGTACAAATATGGGAAGAGAATCGACAAAGCATGCTCGAGCTTGTTTCAAGTACATTCAAGGTAAATTTTTATTGATCTTAAGAAGCACGAAATTATTGTAGTTCTTTCGTCAGAGTGGTGTGCATGGGAAAGTCTTCTCATCTGCAAGTGGGCTTCCCCTGGCTGCGACTATCCAAGTTGATGGCTTCAATCAAACAGTACGTCAGTAGTTTCAGGCAACTTTTGATTGACAATGAACTTCTGTGTGGCAGATTAAAGCAACTTCACAGTTTGGCAACTATCACAGGCTACTTCCTCCCGGGAAGGCATACAAAGGTAAAAAATTCTTCTGGCGAAATCTAAGCTTTAGCATGGATTCACAGTAACTGCAAGCATGGATGGGCATACAAGCCGTTCGGTACATGTTTTGTCACCGAATGGCGAGTCTACAGCACTCGATTTTATATTGGACCCTACAGGTGGAGTTGGACAGCAGCACAAACTAATGCGGCTCATGACAACGCACGACGACAGTGATACGATGGCGCTACTCTTATACCATTCCAAGTTCACGTTCCTATCCTTTCTCGGGGTGTTGGTCATCTTGTTCTCCTGCTTCGGGTGCAAGCGAAGGCTATGGTTACGGTCAGAAAAGTCTCCAGCAAAGGTTTGAAAGCAGCGCGCTGGCATGGGGACTTCAACTGGACTCCAGTGTTGTCCAAAGCTCTTGGAAGGCATAGATGAACTGGAGAGGCAGAGGGGTCTTGACGTGAAGCCGGAGGCAGTGCCGACGTTGCTGAGGCAGTGCGGCGATTTCAAAGCTCTGGCCGAAGGCAAACGAGTCCACGCTTATCTTGTCCGGGCGAGGTACCACAGAGACAGATATTTCGGCAATCTTCTGGTAGAGATGTACGGGAAGTGTGGCAGCGTCGAAGATGCAAGAGCAGTGTTCGAGAGCATGCAAGCCAGGAACGTCTACTCGTGGACGATGATGATCGCTGCATATGCCCAGAACGGGTGCTACAGGGAAGCCGTCCGGATGATGCACAGGATGGATTTGGAGGGCGCTAAAGCCGACAAGATAACTTTTGTCGCTGTTTTGGACGCGTGCTCCAGCTTGGGCGATCTTTCCACTGGGAGAAGACTCCATGACCGAGTCCTTGGTTTCCTGGATTCCGACGTTGTTCTGTGCACTGCCGTGCTCAACATGTACGGGAAGTGTGGGAGCGTGGACGATGCCAAGTCGGTGTTTGAGAGGATGACGAACAGGGACGTGGTGGCCTGGAACGCGATGGTGGCGGCGTATGCTCAAAACGGGCATTGCAGGAAGGCTTTCAAGCTTTTTGCAAGGATGGCAGCGGAGAAGGTCGCTCCCAACAAGAGCACGTACGTGAGCTTGCTGGACGCGTGCTCGAGCATGGCTGGGATTTCCAAAGGCAGGGAGCTCCACGGGCTGGTTGACAGGGCGGGCTTCTTGCGGGACCGTGTCGTAAGGTGTGCAGTGATCAACATGTATGGGAAGTGTGGCAGCGTTGACGAAGCAAGGCAGGTTTTCGAGGCGTTCCCGGACAGGGATGTTGCGTTGTGGAACTCGATGATCGCGGCTTACGCTCAGAACGGGCAAGGAGAGATGTCCTTGCAAGTTTTCGAGAGGATGAAGGAGGCAACCAACAACGCGAGACCGAACGCGATCACTTTCGTGCACGTCCTGTGCGCTTGCAGCCATGCAAGGCTGATCGAGAGGGGCCGTAGCTACTTCGGATCCATGGAGACGGTGTTTGGGATCCAGCCGAGTTCTCAGCACTACCGATGCATGATAGATCTCCTCGGCCGCAGCGGGAACCTTGACCAGGCCTGGAACATTCTCCACTCGATGCCTTTGGAGCCGGACTCGTTGGCCTGGACGACGATGCTGAGCGCGTGTAGAGCTCACTCCAATGTGGAGCTCGGCGAGCTTTGTGCCGAGAGGCTCTTCGAGATGGAGCCGGAGTACTCAGCCCCGTACGTGCTGCTCTCCAACATCTACGCAGCGAGAGACCGCTGGGACGACGTTGCGAGGATCCGGAAACTCATGGCGGACAAGGGCGTGAAGAAGCCCAGTGGAAGAAGCAGCATTGAAGTTGGCGATAAGGTTCACGAGTTCGTGGCCGGGGACAGAGCTCATCCTCGACGGGAGGAGATTTACCAGGAGCTATCGCGGCTGGGATCGCAGATGAAAGCTCTGGGATACATCCAGGACAGGAGCTCGGCGTTGCGAGATGGCGAGGAAGAGGAGAAGGAACAGATGCTGTGGTACCACAGCGAGAAGCTGGCCATCGCGTTTGGCAGCGTCGCGACCCCGGCCAGGAAGAGCCTCTACGTGATCAAGAACTTGCGGGTGTGTACGGATTGTCACACCGCGAGTAAGTTCATATCCAGGATCACCGGGAGGGAGATTGTTCTGCGCGATCCGTACCGATTCCACCACTTTAGAGACGGGTGGTGCTCGTGTGGAGACTACTGGTGATTCGATTCGATCAGTGTGAAAAACGTATGTTTCCTATTATATATATACGTCTGAGAAGTGACCATAAAGTATACGTCGTGTTTCCACCACATATAATGTGCGCGATCACAAAGTATATGTTTCCAAAATGTATATACATTTTATATGTACGTGATCATAAAGTATAATATGGAAAATATGTTAACACGGCATTGGAGGTTATCAATTCGTGCCTCGTTGCACGTTCATTGGAGGGGCATATGTTGGAAAGATTCCGGTCACACAGGCATTGACCAGGTCAACATCCAGAGACTATTTCTCTCCAAAGATTCTAGTCAAGGAAGTTGTGTGGATTAGAGATCGCTTGGGAAGACCATGGGACTGTCCAAGACGAGGTTCTTCTCCAGGTGGAGCTGCCAGCGCGTTGGATCGTCGAACCCATGGCACCGGAGTAGTAACAAGCGAAGAACAGTGCGGCCGATCGATCCCAACACACCCACCAAGCAGCGATTGTGGCGAGCGAGAGTCGTCAGGAAGCTGAGACTGCGTCGATTCGTGGGCAGGATTAGCATTTTTCTGGCGCCCAAATCGCTGCTCCGGATGGCCAGGGACTCGTATGTGAGGATGCTCAACAATGCGGGAATGTCTTTCATGGGGCATTACTTGGTGGGAAGCAATCCGATGTTGAGGAAGCCAGGCTATCATGAGCAACAAGAATCTGGAGAGATTGCTGCGAAGAGCGATCGCCCAAGGACGATTTGCGTCCCCGGATTTTGGGATGCAGATTCCTTGATCGTTAAATATCCAAAACTAATCCTTTTGCTAAGCGTGTAATTGGCTGCATAGCGCAGTGGATTAGCGCGTCAGACTTCGGATCTGAAGGTCGAGGGTTCGAATCCCTCTGTGGTCGAGTGGTCGCAAGAAGTTTTCTTTCTAGAGGGACTTTAAGATGTGATGAGCAAAATAATAATTGGCAAAATGCTTTACACAAAGTTGTGACAACCAAGCAAATTCTGGCGCTTAGATGATCTTGGATTAATTGATAAAAATTATCTTTATACGTCTCACTTTATTTATAACTATTATTGAATTAAAGAATACAAATACTATAATGCTATTATCTATTAATATTTAACTTAACAAAAAAATATTCAAGATATTATTAATATTTTGAATATAGAAAACCAAGCATTTCCAGTTCAATACTTAATGATTCTAACAATTTTTGGGATTTTTAGAGCTGTTTGAATTTAGAAATGGTCTTAGTGAAACACTCTAGGTAAACCCATCTTCAGCCAGCTTTAGTTCTATTCCACTGAATAGAATGATAAAGGTGGTAACACCACTGTATACAAAATGGAAAAAAAAATGGTGAGTAGAAGATAACTATTAGCAAATCTAGATCTCCCAGGAGATAAATGAAAACCTCTAAGCATGTATACATGTGGATTTTAAACACTTTATATATTTTTCTCTAGTATTAAAAGTATATAAAACAAAACTACAAATATTATCTTTGTAAGTTTTACAATCATCCTATGAGCACACAAGCAAAGACTACAGTGGCTACGCACGGTGAACGGGAATCAAGGCTGGCCAAGACCTTGTTGCATGAATCAAGCACATGAGGATCTCCCTTGAATAGTCATGTTATAAGCATCACGTAATAAACTAAGTTCAGGTGTCTTCCCTGATCCTTTTCATTGCCTAACTATATTGGAGAGTGGAATCAATAGGTTGGCCTTATATATAATAACCATTATGGTTTGAATTTGCAGAAGTTAATCAAAAGAATATCAATGTCCAGCCACCATTTGAATTTTAGGCGTTACCATTTGAATGTGACAAAGCCCAAAGCTTACAGCTGTCAACGCCTGCAAGACCATAAGCCCAATCCACAAACTTGAAGTAGTAGGCTGGCCTTCGCAAAGCACTGGGAGCCTAAGCCATGCACGCCTTTCGGGACGGAGCCCATCTATAGATATAGATAAAGAGCGCGGCAGAATTCATCCAAACACGATGAGTGAAGAGTACGTTGGTTGGCAAGGCTCTCCTTCAGGAATTGAAGGTAAAATTGCCTCCAAGGCCAAAGGCGTATGGAGTCGGGTTGCCGGTGGGAGGATAGTTATGCCGGTTGTTACATTTACAAAGTTACAAGTACTTACTCCTAATGCTTCTGTTCCTGGCTACTCCGTCAGGTATGTCTTTGAATCCTACGAATCCTATGGATTCATAGGCTGTTTGATGCCACTGACAAAGCTTTTTCGGTTGCAGCTCCCACACTCCAGGCTCGGCCAGGTATGCATGGTTTGCATTTGTTGTTTGCGTTCGCCGTGTGATAGCAGTGAGCATGCTATTCTTCTTTCTGGATAAGGCTAGCTCATGAATGGGTGTATTAGAAGCCTTTCTCGCATCGGCCATTACCTTTAAATTGCTATGTAATTTTACTTAAGCTTTTAAGGTTTTTCATTTTGCACACATACTTAAGTTTAAAACTTTAACATAAGGGTTTACCTTAAAGTGTTTTCCATATATTTAACATTTAATCTCTGTTGAGTCGTTTTTCCCAATTCATAATTCGTGTGGGATTCTGATTGGCAGTGTCTCCAAGAATTTCTTGCAGCACACGGCACAGTGCAAAGATCCTCTATGGATAATCGGCATCACAAGGATTTAAGAGTGGAGCCACGATAAAGAAGCAAAGGCAGATCCAGTGAGCGATGGAAGCGCTGAATGCCAATCCCTTGATCCAAAGCTCTGGATACAGAGAGAGAGTGACTAGAGCACGCTCAGAACTAGATAGGTCAAGATCAAGTGGTGGTGTTAGATCTGGTGCTCCAAATTTGTGCACTACCTTGTGCGATCAGCAGCCCACTCACCACGCAGCAAAAGTTAACTTAAACTTAAGTTGACTAGGACTTAACTTCCTAAAATTTAACGGTAAAGGTAAGTATAAGGGAAAAAATGTGCGAATTGGAACAAATTACATAAATTTAATGGTAAGCATTAATAATTAGCTTAAAGGTTCGTGTGAAACTAAAATACTTAAAAAATCACCCTTAACTTTAAGGGTAAAGGTCGGTTGCTTGTTTGAATTTGTTTTCATCGCTGAAAAGTTCTTGTGTGGTTTTCTCACGCAGGACCTGACGAGGCCAGTGAGTTTTGAGTCCCTTAACTTTTGCAATCCCATAAGTTTTTACTGCAGAACTGCCTATACTTTATCTGAGGGATGAGCTTCGTAAGTCTCTCATAGCCCTGCCGGATCTGGATGGTTAGCGGAACTTCTATTACCAACCTTTTCCGGAACACTTGAGGTTCCCTGTTCCTGAGAACGTCTGGAAGCAGCTGCCCTTGAACAGGTCCCAGATATTTACGCCGGACGAGGTGACTGGCTTGGCCACTCGTATGAGCAAGTTTGTCTGCAACATTCTCAACGACGCGTCCGCCGACGTCCCCGCCCAGGGTATTGAGAATGCATTCCATTACTCATACGACGCACTTATCACAGAACCAGTGCGTTTCTTCTATGGGAAGATTAGTCGTTTACTTGGGGAACAAGAACTTGGAGAGCTTGTTGAGGCCAGATGCTGCCTACGCATCTGGCAATGGCTACGTCCTATTCAAGGGCGAGGAGATGGGGGAAGAGGATACACCAGGAGATCCTGCAGATGAACTGGTGGATAAGCATGGGTGGCCTTACGGTGCTTCTATTCCCTACATCCCTGCGTACTATGCCAGAGCATATTCTGGTTACGTTCTGTGTCCTCTGTCAGGAGGATGGAGCGACACACCGGCTGGGTCTACTAACGTTTGATATAAGGACTGCAGAAGGTCGCTTGGGAATCTTCATCGCTTGCCTGAAGGTTGCACAGCTTGTCTACAAGCTGGAACGAATCTGTCAACTTTCGAGTTCGAGTGTGCTTGGAGCATGACTCGACCGAGTGGGAAAACTTTGGAATTCTACCTGGACAAAATGGTGAAGACGTACTCGAATGATATCAAGGCAACGAGTGCGTGTCGCATGTACGCTTTGATCAGAAAATGTCCATTCATTGAGAAGGCTTTACATGCGAACCAGGAAAAGCGCCACATTGTCTTTCAACGTGAGCACGATGTGATGCCGCGCTCAAAGAAAGATTGTCTTGCTTGTATTCTGTAGGCCTTGGTCTGGCTCCATAGCAGGAGCATCATGCACAGGGATCTGAAGTGGGCAAGATGAATGCTCTTATTTGGTGGATAGCGGATTTTGATGATGGCAATGAGTCCTAGTGATGGAGATTGTTATTTAGAGCCATCCCTTCATACGCCTGAGATAGATGGAAAGCACGATTGCAATGTTGATATATGGGGGATGGGAACTTTTGACTTTTTATGTTACTACTACTATAATCTCAGGCTTGTCAGAATTCAGAAGTTGAGAATGCAAAGGCGGGCCCCACTGCTTCAGAATGTTTGAGGTTCATCAACCGTTTAGGGAAGAACAATGAAAAATGAACTTTTGTGGCACGTCTACAGGATATAATTGTTTATGAAAAGATATTTTATTTCATTACCATGTGCTGGGGATATAGTTTGAATTAGTCGTTTTGGGATACTATGGCCTTGGGTTTAAATAATATTGGAATGAATGACTTCCATCACAATCAAGAGCTTATAACTCACATTAAATCTGGCCACCTATGCTAAAAATCTAAAGTCAAAGAAGTAAGATCTTCTAGGTATAGATACTCATCACCAGGTATAAAGAAGCTCAACATCATTCTATCCACTGGCAAATACAATGCTTCTAGAACCTTATTGGCAACAAGCACGTTCCTCTCAAAGCTCCATTGTGAGCCATAGCTGCTATGAGCTAAATAGCTGATCACCTATGATTAACAATCTTCACATCCACACCATCAGGCTAGATATGCTATGCTTGTAGCTTAAGGATGATGATTGCTATTTTATTATCTACATATATTGTGTTATTTTTATACCAACCATTAAAAATTATAAATCATTCATTCCAATAGCAATCTGTTTAATATGTACTATAGCGTAGTAATATTGCTTGTGAAGCCACGTTTTTAGTAACGTTTGCTTTCACAAAAATCTTCCTTCATTATCAGACTAGAAGACTGGACGGATCGGGAGGTGCAAAAGGGGCAAACCTTTGTGCAATGGATTCTTGTGATTGATTCATGGGCAGAAGTGGCCCATCCCCTTGTAGCAGCTGCAATTCTCGACGAAGTGGCCCTTCCGACTCTTGGGCTTGTGACGAGAGGGCACGCAGCTGCAATCGCGGCAGCAGATATTGCAGTTCTTCATGCAGCGCTTGCGCGTCCAATGGGATGTCTGGCAGCGGACTGCACAAGCCTTTGGGCAATCTGCATTGGTGCGTTTTTGCAAATTTGGGTCACAAACAACACAGAACACACATTTGATCAGTATCACTTACTTGTCGGCTTCCCTGACAGCTCACGGCCATGGCCACCGAGGATGGATCCAGATCCAGATCCAGACACCTTGGATCGAGAGCGAGGCGAGCAGCCAAAAGAAAACAAGAAACGAAATTTAAAAAAAAACGTGAGATTGGGCATACGCATTTGGCAGCTAAACGAGAGACTTAGAGCGCTGGCTAACCTGCATAGCTACTAGGAGCAACACCATCACAAGAACAAGGCTCCAGGGGAGGATGCGAGGGGCGGCGATGGCGGCCATTTCTCCTGCTAGGGATGCGCCTACCTCTTGTCTCGTCTCTTCTTTAAGTAAAGGTAGTTGGACTCCAGTAGTACAAAACTTACATTTTACATTAACCATTGTTTCAACTCTCTTTATAGTGAGGCTTTGATGTAGTCTTGGCACAACTATTCGAGTAATGTATCCCAAAACATTCCACTATTGTCGCTAGCTTGTCCCTTGTTGAATAGTTCAGGATTAAAGTCTGACTGCTCCTCTCACTATAGCTTGCTCGAGAGTTTCGTGCTGGTTAACTTCCACCTTTCAAAATATGTTTCCGATTAAGCTTGAGGATCAACTGACACTGTTGCAACGTCCATTGTGCTTGGGTTGCCATAACCATGACTTCACAAAACCAATTCACATCTCCTCCGCAGCAAGATTCAGGATTTCTCATTGGTCAACCGGTCTGGGGTTAATTTAGTCTCAACCACAAAAAGATAATTTTTAAAAATAAAGTACATACTCAATTAAATCCTAGAATTATTTTAATTGGTTTGCTTCAACAAACCAGTGAATATATTTAGAATATACTTAAATATTATTTTACCGGTTGCTATTTATTTAGCTTAATTTGTATGTATAATTTATAAACATGTTAATAAATTATAAACTTTTCTAAAAACTACCTAATATATTCTATAATTTAATGGTTGATGTATGTTCATAAATTATAAACATATTTATAATTACAAACTTTTGACCTAAACACAATGAGGCACAGTTTTTTTTTAAGATGAGTTATATAACTGGCCATGTTAAAAAGGCTTGAAAGCATTTCTAATACTCCAATACTTTAAAGTATGAAAAAAAGTAGAGTTGAACCATAAATATTCATAACATAATTACTACAAGTAAAATTGTACATAATTACTCAAAAAGCTCTTGGTGGATCCAGAGATGGAGTCTGAGATGGAGTCCAAAATAGACCTGAGATGGAGTTAGAGATGGACCTGATGTGCCAGCATCCGCTTGGGCCTCAAAAAAAGTAAAATTAACATTAGTGTAGTGATCGGCATTGTTAACACACAAATAGGCATTGGGCTCATTGTTAGTTAAATGCAAACTTGAAACTCTTAACAAAGTAGTCTAGTTTATCTTTATGCCCATATTAGCAAAAATTTGAGAATTTTTAATGTTGATCAACTGAATCAGTAATAATACTAAACGGCATTCAAAACGAGTAAAACTTGTATAACCACCAGTCTCTTCTACCGGCAGAAAGGCAAGGAGCTGTGGAGGCCTTAATTGGTGAAGTTGCGGCCATCAGGGCCGTGAGGAGGAGCAAAACTGCGGCCGTGTTGCGGCAGCGAGGGTGGCAGTCATGAGCGACACTATGGAAGTCATGAGTAGCAATGAGCGGGGTTATGAACATGGCCGGGGTAGCCAGGAACAAGGCTGTGGAGGTTAAAAGTGAGGTTGCAAAGTTGATGATGGAGCAGCAGGAGCAGGAGATTCAATCCTTAACTCAGCTGTTTACTTTTGTCAGTCAGGCGAAAAAGTTTTTTTGACGGCATGATCGTTTCGTCGTGATATCGGCCTTTGGGCGATTTGGAGGATCTTCTCGATGCCATTGGGATCCTCGTCAAGACCCACGAATGCTCTGCGCACGAACTCGCCAATCGCGCGATTGTGGACGAGAAGGAAGGGATTTCAGTAAGGAAGAAGACGTCACTTGCTTGATTTAACTCTTCCCGTGCTCAAGGATGACAATTGAGTTTATTCACGTAGGTCAGAGGGGCACTCGGCGAGAAAAGAGACCCCAGCGCTGAGAGAACGCATGTTCCTCAGCTTCCAAAGCTGGTTCAAGGGGCTTTTATGGAAAATCTCTCCTTGACCTGAATCGCGATCGACTCTGAGAATTCAGCCCCTGAAGTAGAATCAAACTCGTTCGCAGTCGCAATGGCGGAGAGAAGAAACCACGCTGAAGTGCTACCCAAGGTGGCAGCTTTTCGCGTGAGCACTTATCTACCGCTTCTTTCTGCTTCTCCCTCTGCAAGAAGATAAAGTCAGAATCTCTTGCTAATATTTGTTTTGCCTCTTCATAGTCCATTTCACAAAGCGTGTATTTGTTTGTCTCGTGGAACTTCTCGAATTCCTGCCATGGGGATTGGGCTGGTTGATCTTTGGCAGCATCGTCTTCCTCATCTATAACCAGGAAAACAGAAAGAAAACCAGGAAAACTTCCATTCGCATTACCTTTGTAAACAGCCCCACCTCCACAGCCACCTGTGCTCCAAGGCTTGTCGGCCACACAGCGATTCCACCGGCCAGCTCGCTAACAAAGTGATGAGCTTTTTCTTCCATGCCGGACAAAGTCTAGCTTTTTATTCCCCACGAGAATCTCATTCTCTTTGTCTTCTTCATTTTCCAATCTTGATCTTGTTGGGGGTCTTGACACATATTGCCATGTTAGCTAGACTGTAAGTATTTTGATAAGGAAATCTCAACCAATATTTTAGAAAGAAAAACGTGGTCCAAATGTGTGGAGCAGCAGCACTGATAAACAACTGTATAACCACTGGAGGGTGTTCACGTCCATAAAAGTGGCAATTTTCTCCATGTATTGAGTTATAGACATGGCGACGAGTTTGCTCATACTGCTAGTTTTCAATGCTTGGGTAGCAATTGTTGCCAGTGATGGTCACACAAAGACTGATTCCGTTCTCATTGTTGGTGCTGGTATCTCTGGTTAGTTCCATTTTTTTCTTCTTTCTGTAATGCAATTGTGAACAATTCCAGGGATCATGGCCGCCAAAACTTTGTCACAAAATGGCATCAATGACTTTGTGATTCTCGAAGCCACGGAAAGGATTGGTGGCCGTATGAGAGAAGAGGCATTTGCTGGAGGAATTGTAGAGATTGGTGCTAATTGGGTTGAAGGAGTTCATGGCTCCAAAGTAAATCCCATTTGGACTCTGGCAAACAAGTACAATCTTACTTCGTTTTACACGGATTTCAGCAATCAAAGCAGCAACATCTACACAAAAAAGTAAGCGGTGGAAAACTTGGAGAAAACTCACTTGCTTGCATATCCAGTGGATACGTTGATCCTTCCACAGTTACAAACGAGACGAAAATGGCTGAAGCAGAGAAGGAGTATGTGACGAATCTGGCCATCTCTAAAAGTAAAAACGGGGAACAAGACATATCCATTCTTACAGGACAGCGGCTATTTGGAAGGTTTCCACCAAGTGTTTTATCCTTGTTTTAGAGCTAACTATTTGTACTCTCGCTCCAATGCAGCGTTCCTCAGACTCCTATAGAAATGTGCTTGGAGTATCAAAATTACGACTTTGAATTTGCAGGTAAAGCTTTTGCCCCAAGGAGAGAGAGGAGAGATTTGATTTGATATTATAGATCATTGGCTATAAATCTTTGACTAAAATTTTTGATTGATTTTAAATAGAACCACCTAGAGTCACAAGCTTGGAGAACACACACCCAAATCCAACTTTTAGAGACTTTGGGGACGACGAATACTTTGTAGCGGACCCTCGTGGCTACTCTCATATCGTTCACCAGTTAGCTGGAGATTTTCTTCAGACCAGAAATGGAAAAATTACAGATCCTCGCCTTTTGCTGAACAAGGTGATTTTTCTTCTTGGATATTTCAAATTTTATGATTCTTTCTTTCTTCAAGGTTGTAAGAAAGATTAAATATAGCAAGGATGGAGTGAAGCTCTTGACTGAAGATGGATCAACTTACTTTGGCAAGTTTGCTATTGTCACAGCAAGCTTGGGAGTTCTTCAAAGTAGTCTGATTAAATTTCAACCAGTTCTTCCAGTAAGTGCTTTGATTTCGATTTTTCAAGTGATAAACTGTTTTTTTCTCTCAAGGATTGGAAAGTGGAAGCTCTTTTCCAGTTTGATATGGCCATTTACACAAAGATTTTTCTTCGATTTCCATATACATTTTGGCCTATTTATCCAGGAGCTCAATTCCTTATTTACTGTGACGAGAGGCGAGGATATTACTCTACATGGCAGGTAAATTCCTAATTATACGTAGAAAAGTGTTTTAGAGCCTCGTGAGCTTTCAGCATTTGGCGAAGGAATTTCCCGGTAAAAATATGATCTTCGTGACGGTCACGGATGAGGAATCTCGTAGGATCGAGCAGCTGCCAGACAAAGAGATTAAAGCCGAGATAATGTCGGTGTTGCGAAAAATGTTTGGACCAAACATCCCAGAGATTGAGGAGATGCTTGTCCCAAGATGGGGATCGATGAAATATTTCAAAGGTTCTTACTCCAACTGGCCAATCGGAGTGAGCGATAGTGAATTCGAAGCAATTCAGGTCCGCCCCCTTTCCAAGTTTTGCAAGGTGTTTTAGCTGACAAATTAGTCCACCCAGGCACCAGTGGAAACTCTCTACTTTGCGGGAGAGCACACAAGCCAAAAATACAGTGGCTACGTACACGGTGCTTACTTGACGGGAATCGAGGCTGGCAAAGACCTTGTTGCATGCATCAAGCACAAGAAATGCCGCAAGTTTTCTCAGGAGAAACACAAAGATTTGAAGAACTCGACTTGCAAAGAAGAGATAGCAAAGGTAAATGCTAGCTTTGAGCTCAAATTCTCAGTCTTGTTTTTGTCTGTGTATAGGAAAGAGAAGCTACAAGGCAAGCATGGACAAAGAAAATGGACGCAGTACTAGCAAGTCACAAGAATGGGATGTGAACTTTAAACTTACCGTATTGTACATATACTATAAGTTTATTAAATGAATGATGTTTGAGCTTCCCCTGAAAATTGTTGTGGATTTTATGGAAGATCCATCTCCTAGATGAGCAGTAGTGCATTAAGTTTAGAGCAGTGCGTCAAGCTCATCAATTCTTGCAACACAGCACCACAAGCAAAGCTTGTCCATGCCCAAGTTACATCCAGTCCGGCTGCCAAGTTATTTCCATCCTCCACCATTGTCTATCTCGCCAATCTCATGGTACAGATGTACGGCAGGTGTGGCGACGTTGTGGAGGCTAGAAAAGTGTTTGACGCGCACTCAAAGAACATCTACTCTTGGGTTGTCATGCTCACGGCGTATGCCCAAAACGGGCATGTCGCGGATGCCAAAGACGTGTTCGACAGAATGCCGGATTGGAATCTCGTTTCGTGGAGCGCCATGTTGACTGCGTACTCCCGGAATGGCTACTTGGATCGAGCGCTTTCGGTGTTTAACTCAATGCCGGAGAGAAACATAATCGCGTGGACTGCCATCGTTGATGCATATGCCGAGAACCGGCATCTTGTCCAGGCGGAACGAAGTTTTTACAGCATGCCGGAATGGAATCTGGTGGCGTGCACAGCGATGCTTGTTTGCTACACGGAAAATGGGCGGTTTGACAATGCGAGGGAAGTTTTCAACACAATGAAGGAGCGTGACGTGGTGTCGTGGACTGCCATGTCATCGGCTTATGCCCAATCAGGGCATGTTAGCGAGGCCCAGAATTTTTTTCAGAGGATGCCGGAGTGGAATCTGATTACGTGGACTGCCATGCTGGTTTCCTACGCCAACAGTGGCAACCTGGTAGAAGCTCGAAGAGCTTTTGATTCCATGCCAGAGAGGACTTTGTTTGCTGACAACGCCATGGCTGCAGTATATGCCCAGGTTGGTGATCTTGAAAACGCAAAATGCGTGTTTGATTCCATGCCTGAGCACAACATAATCTCTTCCACAACTCTTCTTTCAGCCTATACAAAGCAAGGCCATCTTGTTGAATCCCAGGGACTCTTCCGTTCTATGCCAGAGAGGGACGTGATTGCATGGAACGCGTTTCTCGCGGCATATGCCCAAAACGGGCACTGGAAGAGAGCAAAAGACGTGTTCGATCGAATGCCAGAACCCAACACCGTGTCCTGGGCGACAATGCTGGGTGCATCCAACACCCGCCTCGATTTCACCCTCGAACTCCTCTGCAAGATGGCGCTAGATGGCGGCTCGGCAGCAGACGAAGCCTGTTTCGTGTGCATGCTTGTCCGATGCAACCACGCCGGGAGCCTGAAAACCGGCGTGCAATGCTTCCTGTCGATGCAGGGGGACTATTTCGTAGCACCCACAAAGCAGCTCTACTGCTGCATGACGGATTTGCTCGGGAGGTGCGGGCATTTGGGCGATGCCCAAGAACTTCTCTCCACAATGCCCTTTGTTCCCGAGGACGTGGATTGGCAGTCACTGCTCGGGTCGTGCAAGAGTCACAAAAACGCAGTTAGAGGAAAGGTGGCGGCGAGGCGCGCACTAGACTTGGATCCCGCGAGCTCGGCTCCTTACGTGCTCCTAGCCAATGTTTGTACCAATTAACCCAAGTAGCAGAAATTTAGGGTTCTTCGCTGGAATTATTTAGGGTCCCCTTTGATCGATCCGGCGATCGATCGATCGCGATGGGCAATGCGAATGCGACGGGCGGGGGCGAGCCGATGCAGAGCTCGCAACCGCGGATCTCCGAGCAGGAAGGGAAGCTAGGGCACGCCGGGGGATCGTCGGAGTATCTCTCAGACAGTCCTGGAGAATCGGTGCGATGCCCGCTCATGTTTGCTCCACAGGTGAGCTCGTCGCTTGCTTTGGTCCACTGTTTTGCCGCATTTCTTCTCAAATTTGTTTTTTCCCTCTTCTAGGCACCCATGGCTCCTATAAGCAAACCAGATGGAATCGGTGTGTATGAGCCGAATCTCTACAAAGAACACGGTGGTGAGAAGGGAATCCCGTGTATGATCGTGTGGAGCCTCGGAGGAAACAACGTTTCCATCGAGGGCTCATGGGACAACTGGAGCACCAGGTTCAAGAGCTCTTTCTTTCCAAATCTTTGCTTGGAACACTTTTTTCTCTTTTCTAGGCAGCCACTCCAGAGATCTGGGAAGGATTTCTCCATCCTAAAGTTGCTCCCGGCGGGAGTTTACCAGTTTAAGTTCTTCGTGGATGGCGAGTGGAGGCACGCTCCAGATCTTTCCTGCTCCAAGGACGAAGCTGGGAACGTGAGCAATCTCATCGAAGTCCAGGTAAAACGCAAGTTTTCTTTTCTTTCCTCGTTCTCTCCAGCTCTCCAGCTCTTCCATTTCCAGGAATACGTTCCAGAAAACCTTGACAACGTCGTGAGCTTCGAGCCGCCATTGTCTCCAGACTCGAGCTACACGAATCCATTCCCGGGCCCGGAAGATTTTGCAAAGGAGCCACCGGCAGTTCCTCCGCATCTTCACCTCACACTGCTCAACGTCCCCGCCTCGTCTGGAGACGCCCCGGCCTCCATGCCGCGGCCGCAGCACGTAATCCTCAACCATCTCTACGTGGAGAAAGGGAGGAGCTCGCGATCGGTGCTGGCGCTGGGCGCTACTCACAGGTTTAGATCAAAGTACGTGACGGTGGTGGTGTACAGGCCTCTCCGAAAGTGATCACAGCTTTTAAAAAGTGTTTCACTACGTAGAAAAAAAGAACTTTGGAGAACACCAAAGAAGTTTAGCGAAAACGAAGAACTTCCAACGACCACAGAGGGATTCGAACCCTCGACCTTCAGATCCGAAGTCTGACGCGCTAATCCACTGCGCTATGCGGCCAATAACACGCTAATTGTAGTTTTGGTTTGTTGGTAAGTAATAACACACTCTTCTAGTTCTAAGCTTTTCCAAATTCCGGGGTGTCAAATCGTCCTTGGGCGATCGCCCTTCGCAGCAATCTCTCCAGATCCTTGTTGCTCATGACAGAGTTCTGGAGTGGTTTGCTACCGCCCACTATCTGATTTCTTCCCACCATGTAGTGCCCCATGAACGCCAATCCCGCATTGCTGCACAAAGAAGCCAGCATCTTCATCTTCGAGACATACGAGTCTCTCGCCATCCGGAGCAGCGATTTGGGCGCTAGCAAAATGCCGCTGCCTCTGGCAATCCTGCCCAGGAATCGACGCAGTTTCAACTTCCTGGCGATTCTCACTCGCCATCGCTGCTTGGTGGGCCTGTTGGGATCGATCAGCCGCACTGTTCTTCGCTTGCTACCGCTGCGGTGGTGCCATGGGTTCGACGATCCAACGCGCTGATAGCTCCACCTGGAGAAAAATCTCGTACTGGACACCACCTCTTCCATGATCTTCCCCAAAAACTTCCAAGCGATCTCTATCCACAGCCTTGACTGAATTTAAAGCCTCTCTCTGGGGAGTCCCTGGATGTTGACCCGGTCAATGCTTGTGGGCTTAGCTACCTGTCGCGCCACCTTTGACCGGAATCTTTCCCCTCCAAAGAACGTGTAACGAAGCACGAATTGATAAATTCCAATGCCGTGTTAACAGTCCCTTATATGTTTCCATATACTTCTTCTCATGCACTTCTTATCGTATACTTTGTACGTACATATTAAAAGTGTATATGACTTTAACTTCTAGGACGTATTGTATATCGTGGAAAACACACTTTCGAGTCAGTCTCCACACAGGAAGCGGTTACACACCCGCAAGTTTTTTTTATCACGTAGAAGCTCTTCCCGGCTGGGGTCTCGATGCTGCCAAATGCGATGGCCAGCTTCTCCATAACATCTGCTCCTTCTCCCCCACCCGGAGCTGAACGTATCCCAGATCTCTCATCCGCAATCCCAGCCTCAATAGCTCCTGGTAAATCTCCTCCCGCCGAGAATAGCTCTATCCCCCGCCACGAACTCGTGAACCTTATCGCCAACATCAATGCTGCTTCTGCCACTCGGCTTCTTCACGCCCCTGTCCACCATGAGTTTCTCCTCGCAGCGTCGTCCCAGCGGTCTCTGGCAGCGTAGATGTTGGAGAGCAGTACCTAAGGGGCTGAGTACTCCGGTTCCACCTCGAAGAGCCTGTCAGCACAAAGCTCGCCGAGCTCCACATCAGAATGAGCTCTAGTTGTCCAGGTCAACGAGTCCGGCTTCAAAGGCATCGAGTGGAGAACGTTCCAGGTCTGGTCAAGGTTCCCGCTGCGGCCGAGGAGATCTATCATGCATCTGTAGTGCTCAGAACTCTGCTGGATCCCAAATGGATCCGAAGTAGCTACGGCCCCTATTGCATGGCTGCAAGCGCACAGGACGTGTGCGAAAGTGATCGCGTTCGGCCTCGCGTTGTTTGTTTCCTCCATCCTCTCGAAAAGTTCCAAGGACTTCTCTCCTTGCCAGTTCTGAGCCGCGATCATCGAGTTCCACAGCGCGTTCCAAGCCACCACGTCCCTGTTCGTCATCCTCTCAAACAACGACTTGGCCCTCCCACACTTCCCGTACATGTTGAGCACGGCAGTGCACAGAACAACGTCGGAATCCAGGAAGCCATGGACTCGGTCATGGAGTCTTCTCCCAGTGGAAAGATCACCCAAGCTGGAGCGGGTATATGCAGCGATCATCATCGTCCACGAGTAGACGTCCTGGCTTGCATGCTCTCGAGCACTGCTCTCGCATCTTCGACGTTGCCACATTTGCCATACATCCCTACCAGAAGATTGCCGAAACATCTGTCCCAGATAAGCGTGGATTCGCTTGCCGCACTGCCTCAGCAACGCCAGTAGGCACTGCCCCCAGCTTCACCCCTCTGTCTCTCCAGTTCATCTATGCCTTCCAAGAGCTTTGGACAACACTTGATTCCAGTTGAGGCTAAGATTAAGATTTTTGAGCGAGTGAATCTTTGAACCGTTCAGTAAAGATGTGTCTGCGGACCAAGTTGGGAGTTGGTTGACTAAGGCAGAACAGATTGTCGTGAGCTTGTTCAAAACTTCATGGCAAACAAGCTGAGGTTAAAGTCAGGGACAGTCATGATAGCCACAAAGGATACAAGTCCTATGTGAAAAAGGAGACATGGGATCAAGATAAGCACCAAAAGGGACAAGGGGATGTTCTGGCTGTGGTGATATCCAAGGGTGTTCGTTCCAGAGATTCCCGCAAAAAAGTTACTATTGCGAAGGAAACTTTGGTAATGGCAAGATTGGAAATGTGATCCAACTTGCTGGGGCGATAGGCACGCAAAAGTGCTTCTTGATCTTGGAAGTACTGATGAATTCATTTCAAAGGATTTGGTAGGGCAATTATGCATTCGTCACTGCAAGACTACCCCTTATCACATTGAGGGAGCTGTTTTGAATGGGGATGTAATGGATGTTGAAGGGGTTAAACTTGAGGGTCATTTTGAGAATGACTTAGGTGGAAAAGTTCAATCCTTCAATGGATTGAACAAGGAGGTAGCTAGTGTTATTATGCATGGGAAATTCTTTGAAGAGGTGAACACTAGATCGTTTTGCTGCAGGAGTTGACTTGTCAACAACTTAGGGCAAGAAGTTTTGTTGGAGAAGTTTTTCCAAAGAGAGTTCTTCTCAAGAGATTTTTTACAAGATCAAGCTGGGGACTTGGGTTGAGTACCTTAAAGGAAGTCAAAGTAAGGATGGCTAAAGAATACAGTGCCCTATTGCTTCTTGTGAAGCAGAAGGATGATATGATACATATATTGTGTTTTGAACAATGTGTCACAAGCTGCTCATAGTTTTTATGCTAAATACTTCACCAAGAGTGACTTGAGGAGTGGATACTACCAAATTGTGGTGAATGTGAAAGATGCTCCAACATTTGGGCTAATTAATGCTCTTACAAATTTAATACATTTAATGAACTTAGGTTATATCAACAAGTTTGTTCAAGTGTTTCTTAATAACATTTTAATTTATAGTTGGACACTTGACGAAGTTCTTCTCTTTATGGTCTTCACCATTTGCAATGGTTTTGGATGTGGTGTACAAGTAGAAGTTGTTCCCCAAAATGTCAAAGTAGCCAACCATTTTTTTTTCAAATTAGTGCATAGTTATTCATGTGGAAAATTTTGGTGAAATATGTGTCTGATGTGGTAGGACCCCATGCCATAACCATACACTTCAAATCATGTAGGGCAATCAAAATGTAGTAACAATTGTTTTTATGATGTGGACAGATGTTAACCTTATGTATGCCTCTTCTTTGCCATATATTGAATCACATGTTAAAGCATGGTACTACAAATTGATTGCCATGTGTCCTGTTGTTCTTCCCTGGTTGATTGTTACCAAGAGAGTTACAAAGGTGGTTCTCTTTGTAATTTGTACCTTCAATTAGATAATGTGCCATTGTTGGCATTAATTAGTAACCAAGTGTAGCCACGCTAGCTCCCGGATGACAGTACATCATTGTGTAGGTTATCTCATACTAAATAACAAGATCAGCGTTGACAAGCTCACGGCCATTTTTCCAGCCCCAAAGCCATCACACTAATTCCTTTTGTAGCATAGCCAAGTCAAACAAGCTCTTTTGTCAATTCTTCCTGATCATGTCATAGAGAGCATATACCTCAACAACAACTTGGTCGACTGCCAATTTCTCTTCCCCTGCATGACCGAATAAACCTTTCTGGATTATCCATCCCTGTAGAACACAGTAAAATGGACGGTTGCGCCAGTGTTGCGGGCGCCCAACAGTACTGGTGCGCGGTACAAAACTTGATAAGGTTGTACATCCACGAATCCCAGAACATTATGTATTCCATCCCATGGTCTGCTGCATAAGCAAGACAAATTGTGTGGAAATGCATGCGGTAGTCACCTGTCAGGCTGTCAGGAACCATCTGTAGAAACTTTAGAAGCCTTCGCTGAGAGTTGGAGAGTTCGGCTGTATCTCCTTCCTGGGTGGTACAGTGGGAAGCATGAAAAGCCAGATGGGAACAATTGCACTTGCACTTGTGTTATATAACCAAGTGCCATTGTTCCCATCTGGCTTTTCACGCTTCCCATACGCTGATGGCACATGGACAATATCACTAGATTCCTGCTTGCGGCTAAGGTACTACCAAGGTCTACAACAAAAGAGCCATACCTCAGATTGCAAAGCATGCTTGTCCACTTACTAGCAAACAGCAAGCCACAACCAAAATCAACACATATGAATCTCCTGATCAAGAGCTGTTAGGATTATATCTGTTACACCCTAAGCCAACTGGCTAAAAGGGTGATCACTTAATTGCAAAGTTGTTTCCTTATTTTATTATGTTGACCTGGTGCCTAATAATCCTAGGGAATGATAGGATCTGATCATGCTTAGGCCTTGTTAAGTACCAAGTCAGGATAATAGGATAAAGAAATGGTTTTGCAATCAAGTGATCATTAATTGACTTAGGGTGTAAGGGATAGAATCCTAACATTAGTATTATAGTTTAATTCTTGTGGCTGACAAATGGGGCAAAAATATTCTAAAAGAATATTTAGCATGGTGGATCATTAGGGAAAAGATCCGATCATGCTTAGGCCATCAATACCATGGTCTTTCTCTTAAGGTCTATTAAACCTTAGATCCACCATGTTAAATATTCCTGCCCCACTCATTAGCCACAAGAATCGAATTGAGTTCCGATACCAATGTCCTTTACACCTTAAAGCCAATTAACTAAAGAAGTGATCACTTGATTGCAGGGCCTTTTCCTTATTCTATTATGCTGAACAAAAACAACATTATAAACCAAGATCTAAACCTTATTTGCTTATCTATTTTTCAGACTCTAATGTGTAAGTTTGGACGTTTGTAATCTAATCATTTCTAGGAAGCCCGTGCTGCTCACTTGCGCCTCAAGTTTGATCAATACTGTGAACTTATAAATGCTGTCAACTAAAACACAACTAGCAAACCAAGTGATCATAAAACACCTTTGCTACAGGTCACCTTGTTCTTCCCTCAAACGGTTGATGAGCGTCAAACATTCTGAAGCTGTGGGCCTCGCCTTTGGATCCTTGCTCAGACAAGAGTTTTTGAAGTCGGACAAACCCATAGTCGAGGTAGGATAATATGCGATGAGGCTTCCCACCCCCCAAATATCAACCTTGCAGTCGTGCTTTCCGCATATCTGAGGCGCCGAAAGCTCCAAGTAATCAGCTCCATCACTGGGACTCATTGCCACGTCGTCAAAATCCACTATTCACCAAATTCCATCACTCATCTTGACAATATTTGGCAACCTCAGGTCCCTGTGCATGATGTTCCTGCTATGGAGCCAGCAGAATACAAGCGAGGCAGTCAAGTAACTCTTTCCTTGAGCGCGGCATCACACTCTGCCCACGTTGGAAGAGAATGTGGCGCTTTTCCTGGTTCACGCGTAAAGCCTTCTCAACAAATGGACATTCGTTGATCAAAGCGTACATACCACATGCCCTCGTCGCCTTGATGTCAGTCACGTCTTCACCACTTTGTTGCAGTAGAACTCTTAAGGTTTTCCCGCTCCATCTAGACTCCATCCTCTTTATAGGTGGCACACTAGAACTTTGACAGATTGCTTCTAGCTTGTGGACAAGCTGTGCGACCTTCAAAAAAGCCATAAAAACTCCCAAACGACCCTCTGCAGTCCTTATATCCAACGTTTGTAGATCCAGCCGGTATGTCACTCCATTCTCCTGGTAGAGGACACAGAAAGTAACCACAAACGCTCTGGCATAGTACGCAGGGATGTAGGGAATGGAATCCCCATAAGGCCACCCATCCTTGTTCACCAGTTCCTCTGCAGGATTTCCCTCCGTTTCGCCCTTGAATAAGACGCAGCCATGGCCAAATGCGAAGACACTGTCTGGCCTCAACGCTCTCCAGAAGCTCTCTGAGGTACTGTTCCTCGTGTGAACTTAGAAAAACGCACTGGTTCTGCGATGAGTGCATCGTAGATGTAATGGAAGGTTTTCTCTCTGCCTTGGGCGAGAACGTTGTTGAGGATGTCGTAGGCAAAACTGCTAAGAAGAGTACCGAATTCATTACGTCCGGTTCAGGGGGAGCCAGTTGTAAACATTCTCAGCAAGAGGGAACCTCACTCTGGGAAAGGCTGGAAATAGAAGTCCCGCAATGCAGTTAGATCCGGCAGAGCTATCAGAGATTCAAGAATCTCATCCCGAAAACTACCAAGTATTCGTAATCCTGCAGTGAAAAGTTAAGGGATAATGCAAATATGAAAGGGGACTTAAAACTCACGGGCTTCAGGTCCGGCTTCAGATCCTGCGTCACACAAAGAGAACAAACCCAAACTAGCAAATCCAATAGAACACAAATACACCGCATCAAGCCATTGATGTGCTAGCCTTATCGAGAAAAAATCAATGACCAGAGAACAGAGAACAAATCAAACACACACACAACGAACGCAAACCATGCCTACCTGGAAGCGGGGGAGCTGCAACACGCATGGGAGCTGCAACAGAAAAAAAGCTTTGTCAATGGCAGTGCCTAGACAGAGTAAAGCCAAACAAACACAGCCATACCAAAGTAGCCACTCGAAGGAAAACACGCAGACTTTTAGCAAAGGAAACAGGGAGCCATATCAAACTGCAGCCACGCAGAAAACAACATTGCAGCGGCATTTCAGATCCAGAAGGCACAAAAGCTCCAAGAACAGAAGTATTAGAAGTAAGTACCTGTACCTTTTGTAGCGGCATCAAGATTCTCTCCAACAACTGTAGGTGTTAAAGTAAGCATATTCGAGAAACTCTTTAGCAGCTGGAAGGAAAGGACTCATTTCATGTTTGGATGAATTCTTTTTACCTGACGAATAATGTTTCTCTCTCGATCGAGATGCGGCGATCACGGTGTTCTTGGTGCTTGCGGGCAAGATCGCGGCGATCAGCCTCTTCGGATCGCACGCCTACTTTTCTCCAGGACCGGAATCCAGGTTATAGGGCGGCCAGTGTCCAGGGACAACTTCGTATGGAATGAGGGAGATCCTGAGGTCACCATCGGCGAAGAACACCAGGTACTATTCACAGTATGAGTTGTATACCGCGCTGCCAGTGTCACTGCTCGTAACTAGAGAGTTTTTCTCCTTCCAATCTTCCGGATCCGAAAATGGGGACTCGAGCAGTAGCAGCAGCAGTAGCGACGGACTCATCCCCGGGCGTGCTCAAGCTTCTCCACATTCTTTCTTGGGAAGCACTCTTCCAGGAACTCGGTGAGCGGCCGTGAGCCATGAGAACTCGGCGAGCCATGCCGTCCCGGTGTGAGTTTTTCTCCTTCCAATCTTTTGGATTCGAGAATGCGAGGAGTAGGAGCAGTAGAGCAGTAGCGATGGATTCATCCCCGTGATCGTCACCACATTCTGCGTGCTCAAGCTCCTCCACTTTCTTGAGACAAGCACCCTTCCAGTAACTCGGAGTGGGTTCTAAGCTGCGGTGTTGGGCCAGTGGGATTCATCCATTTTCTTCTTCGTGGTTCCAAGCGAGATCATCGACTTCCGGCTGGAACAGGCCGTGGCTAAAAATAAAAAGTGAAAAAAAAAAACTAGTTCGATCGATCAGCTCCTTCTTCTCGGATCATTCACGGCAATCCGGCTAGCTATAGCTTTCGGAGCGGCATGGCTCACGGGACTCTTCTTCGGACCGGTACATGAAATCATTCTGAATTGGAACAAACCAGCCGATATCTCGGTCATGGCAGCACCGGGTGGCAATGGCAACGAAGAAGTCTGTTTGAAGGCAAAGACTGGGCTGGAAGCGTAGGATTCTCTCCAGAGACGTTCCAGGATCTCAAGTTCGTCGGGATGATCTTAAGAGGAGTGATCCAGCTGCTGCTGCTCCGGATCAACGTCCAAGCGTAGCTCAACTTGGGAGTGCTGGCGTGGTACGAAAGCTTGCACGGTAGCAAGACCCCGGACGCCGCCGCGCTCAAGCACAAGATCTTGGTGGTAAACCACTTCATGTGCCGGGTAGTGATCCAGAACTTGGTCCCGGCAGTGCTGCTCATCCTCTTCGCGGGCCTCTCTCGATCGCCATCGCCATCTTCAAACGCTGCAGGAGGAATTGGATTCGTGGCACAAGCAGCGCAATTCTTGGCATGGTGGACGCTCCTCTCGTGGTCTTTGCTCCACGCCCACAGGGCTAGCGACAACTAGCGTTCAACTCCCTTCTCCGCCGATTTCCGGTAAGCTGCGCTTTTTTGCCAACGCACATATCAATCGGTTCCCATTTCTGGGCCCTGGCAACCCGACAGTCCAAGCAACGAGATTGGCATTTTCAAAAATAAAAGCACAGTTTCCTCTGATTAATTTACTTCCACAATAAAAATATCGCACTGGGGCTTCGAGAAGAAAGGAGGGGAAGGTGCCAAGAAGGTGCTCAGAAGATAGTTTGACCCCTCACTGTTGCTCACACGAGTTGTGCATCATTCATTGACCATCCGTTTACCACGGAGAAAGAAGAAAACAAGAATTGAAACTTGACACTCGTGCCTCTCAAAGAGCTCTAAGAGCCAAAACGTGTCAAGAAAAAAAAAAATTTCGCAAGTCGTAAGTGAGGAGGGCTCCACTCCCAGTAAAGACTCAAATCTGGGATGAGAGCCCCACCCGTAAGCAGTATCCGCCGAAATCACACGGAAGAACCCTCGTACGCGCTTCAACGCTTTTTGAAGAGCTGGATGATGCTGCTCCAGATGAAAACCACAACGTGCTCCAAATCCAGTTGTCCCCCGCGTGCTTATAAAAACCATCTGGTGTCCTGCCACCACAAGGCCAGAATCCGGAAGAACGGAGAAAAGAAAAGAGTCAAAGGCTTCTGGAATATCTCAAGTTCTCAATTCTCGGCCTAGGATCGCCGCGGCTGCTGCCGATCGCTGCATGGGAGAGAGCATTGGAGTGGTGGCGGAGCAGCAGCCCACCACAATCTGGGATCGCAGGAGGAGCAAGCGCCGCGTCGTCGAGAGCTCCGACGAGTATCCTCCCACTTCGCCAGAGGAGTGTGACTCGAGTCCCAGCTACAAGGGAGTTCGCCGCCGGAGCTGGGGGAAGTGGGTGTCGGAGATACGAGAGCCCCGCAAGCGCTCCAGGATATGGCTTGGTTCCTTTGCCACACCGGAGATGGCCGCCAAGGCCTACGACTACGCTGTCTTCTGCTTGAGAGGCCCCTCTGCGATGCTCAATTTCCCAGACTCGCCACCGGTGATCTCCCCTGGTAAGAAGCTCACTTCCTCTAAAGATATCCAAGCTGCTGCTGCCGCCGCCGCAAAAAAGAAAGCGGTCCCGAGACCTGCTTCTGTGACTAGCAAGCCCGTTCCTCTACCTTCTTCCTCCAAGCAAGCCCAAGAAGAAGAAGCTCCTGTCACACCTCTACTCGTTTCGGAGTCGTCCCCTTCCTCGCTACGACGAACCTGGTCTCTCCAGCTTGACGAAGATTTTGCTGCCATGGCCATGCTGCTGCCTCCATTGCCTCCTCTACCTCCTATCCAAATGACCGACGAGGAAGACTCGGACCACGGAGTTCTGGAACACCTAGACCTATGGTAGAATTATCTGCGACACACTACAGCAATTTTGTTAGCCCACAACATGTATAGAAAGAAGGAAAGACGTACTTTTTTTGTCTCGATTGATTGCCGGTTGCATTGCAATGATTCAATGGTGAGTATCCACAAAAGAAATGATTTACAACTGTCAGAATGTAGGAAAAGAGGAGAAGAGGGGTACTTACAGGAGAGTGAGCGAGGTTCTCAGGCAAAGAAGTATGTTACAGTCAGCCAAAATCGTGGAGATGGAAAAAGGAAAAGGAGAGAAAAGCTATGGTTTTCTGCTCTTGCCTTTCCTTCGCTTTGAGGGCGTTCTTCCATGTTCTTCCTGCGCGTCGGGATCTCCATCGTCGTCACTAGCAGGAGCAGGAGGCGCACTTTTCCTCCGCAGCTTACTCCCGACATGCCCGTTCCCTTGGTAAAGACCATCCGCCGCTGCAGAGGAACGACCCCTCTTTCTGGTTGAAGCAGGCGGTGCATAAGCAGAGTAGTCCATTGTGTCAGCTTTTAGCAAAGATTTGAATAGCTGAAAATAAAAGTCAGAACAAGCTTACATAAAAAGTGTGGAATCACCTGATAGCGTTGTACAACTTCAGCCACATTCTCCGGTTGTTTAGCAAAGATGTCAGTACAATCGAAGTCTTTGGCGGCCTGTCTTGAAACTACCTCCGCGGACTTTACAGGATCTGAGGGTTGGAAGGCCTGAACGTGGCGAAGTCAGTTAAAGTAGGAATGCAAAAGAAGACGGACCTGACACCGAGCATCGTCAAGACAAAACGTGATTTTCAAGTGCCTTTTCATCTTTAAAAGCAAAGATAACGCCACTGCCCCATCGGACTGAACCTGGAAAGGAAAAGATTAGAACGCCAGGGTCGCTCAGGGTACATTACCTGTAGGTGTTTCAACACCTCTTGGGGAACCTGAATTGAAGTGCCTTCTTCTGTTGCATCTGGTGCGGTTTGTTTCATCAAACCACAAAGTGGTTCTTGTTGGAACTCCGCTTTGATGCTCGCCTCAAGGTCACCCGCTCGGACTTGCAGAATGCGATTGATGGCGAATATCAAATAGAGAGGTTCTTCCAGCAGATTGAACGGCAATGAAACAAGAATCTCGGTGCAATACCTGCAACATCGTGATTAAGGACCAAACGATTAAATACACTTATGAAGACACTTACATCAAAAAAGATGTGGATGCTTGTGATGTTATCCAGTCGAACTTGCGAACTACAGATGCCAAAAACTTGTTTCTTGAGTTCCGCGACCCCCGAATGAGCTTGTATATACGAGAAATTCCTGCGCGCGCAAAAGCAGCCTCGTTTTGGTCGACTTTGTTTTTCACGCGTGAAGCGTGTGTTGCACCAGTCTGAATGAAGGTGAAGGACAACTGCAATCCGTCGCCAAGACGAGTTTCAAAGAACGATGGATATCTGTAAAGAAACGTGAACTCCGAGCCTCAAACAATACAAATCCAAAGTAGCTTACTTGTCGTTTAGATTGCTTAGCAAACGATGAGCAAGCTTAGATATGCCTTCTTGTTGGTCTACTTCAAGTGCTATAAGCTGAGGTACGCACGTCATGGGATGAACTAAACCCTGACGCAAAACTGCATCAACAACCTGAACACAGAAATATGAGGATCACAAACGCTAGAGTAAAGAAGGCATACCTTAATCGCAGCTTGCCTGACCTGCTCGTCTTTATCCAGACACCTTTCCAGGATACGGTCCCAATGTAGCTGAATTATACCCCCACAAATGTTACTATCGCCTGCCCCTGCCGCAATAGGAACAGCTGTTGTAGCGTCTCGGCTTTCGCCATCCTTCGCATTTGCCAATCCCATTTGTTTTTCCACGTCGAGCAGATACTCGTAAAAGTTCCGAAGCGTTTGCATCTAACCATTTGCTAAGCTGGTTAAATAGTCATATATATGAAAAGTGCGAACCTTCAATCGCGTATCAGCTTTGGAAATCAATGAATCCCCCAAAACCTTTCCAATGCTCTCGTTCATCATAAAATCTGGCCTCGCTAGAAACACAAATCCTGCCGCCTATTATCCCCGATGTTAGATAAAAACCATAACGAGAAAATACTTACTTGTAGTGCCTTAACCTTGACTTCAAAATCTTCACTTTGAAGGTAGTGTGTGTACAAATTTAAAACGCTATCCATGGTAACATCGTGGTCATTCATGCCATCGATAAGCTCTGCTCCGTACCGGACAAATAACCCGAGGCAAAACAAAGAACGAAGAATGTTCTGGAGCATAAAAACATTATCAGGAAAAACGGTATGCAACTTCACGCTTACTGGCTTCTCTTGAATCATTTCACTGTTTTGCCACGACTCGAGAACTTTGTAGAATTGCCGGACTAGGAAATCAAACACGACTCCTTTCTTGGAAGAGATTTTTGTCAAGGAAGCCAAACATCTGAATACAAACACGGGATTAAAACCGCAGTTACAGCTGCCACAGCCGAAATAACTTACTTTATACATGCATGAACGACGGTTAAGAATGAATACCGAACAATGAGCTGTCGCAGATCTCGCTCTAGTTCTTCCACGAGATTTTGAGGCGGTCTTCTGAGTAGCGGGAGAACAGTATCTATTACATAAACAATGCTTTGCAAAAGCTGTGCTATATCGCGATTATCAGCCTGTTTGCAATAAAACGATTAAATCGCATGTTTTCTATGTTAATAAATATATAGATTACCAGTGTTTTCAAATATGGCTGCAAGGTTACCGCAAACCGTGATGGATCAGAAGCAGGTGCGCAAAGAGTAGGATCAACTATGCAGAATGCATGCAAAGCAGACACATAAGGCAACGCCTGAACCTCTGAATCCTCGGACGTCTCTTCGGCCTGTATACTCTGTTAGAGAGCTATCCATAATATTTCAACTACTTACCTTCAGGATGCACTCCATAAGGTACTTGCACATGAGTTCGCATCGATTACGCACGGCAGCCTGAGAAATATTGGTGGGAGCAGCCGTCTTTGAACCTTGAGGAATGAAATCTAAGGTTAGACTTCTCTTGATAATCATCACTATCGGCTGATGGTTTGGAAGACTTTTTAAGACATCCACGATTTGTTGTACGCGTTCAGCAATCTCAGAAGGGACAATACTTCCGTCGGCAACAAACTGCGTCTGCTGCCCAGGATGCTCTTCAAACCAAAGTTCATAAAATGTCTTACACACGAGATCCTAAGCAACATATATTAGCATTTCGCATATATCGGAAATGCATACCTGAATGCTGGCTTCATCATCATTGATTCGAGAAATAACACGGATGCATGCATCGGTTGCTTTTGGAAATCCACCCGCCAATAAGCAAAAATCACGAAGAATTTTTATGACCCGCTTCCTCACACTGACACCAGTGTCCATAATGCGCTCAGATAGCCGATCAAAGTACTGCAAAGAAAATGTTAATATGAAAACACGAGCGTGGCAGTATACCTTGATAGCTACATCCGGACGAGATACAATGTGGCGGCCAACAAGTTCCATCGCAGCTTCTCGCACGGATATAGCCGAATCCATAAATCTGCCTTCAACGGCTTTCTGTACTCTTTCATCAGCTAGTACTCCAGGATCGACTTCAACGATTGCACTAACCTGCATAATAATTGTATGAATTTCATTGTCACAACTAATTCTTACCGCTTTCAAAGCTTTTGCTCGAGGATTAGATGCATTTTCCTGCAGGCTTGCCTAAGAAAGAGAAGGTGAGAATCAATCGCTCGAACAATTAAAATTATATATACCAGAAGCCGCTCCAAAATTCTATCAAATCCTCGTGCTAGCGGCCTCTGTTGTCCCAGTGCTCTAGTAATGCGAACAATGATGTCTCGAGAAATGGCATTAGACGTAATTCCAAAGTCCTGATGTGGAGCTTTCGATCCCCATCTCCAATGGTAAAAAGCAAGACTTTGTAACCCTTGCGGATCATACCCGTACCAAAGGCACAAATAAAATCTGCAAATTTCAAAAGCTTTCAGTCATAAAAGCAAAAGAAAAAAGAAAAATCACCTCCGAGCGAAAAACGAGACGTTGTCTCCGCTATCAGTTTCCCGTAAGAAATTCAAGAGAATCTGCTGAACGATAACTGCTCCATCTTCAGGAACTTTGTAAGTATCATGGGACTTTCCACTCGATCCTGGGTCGAAGGAAGCAAGTTGGTTTCTACAGAGACAGCAGTGACAAAACCATCCTCTCCCAATAAGATCTTGTCCAGTAACACCGACACAATCTCCGTGAAACCACCGTTTGCAACTGTCACACCGCAGGATGAACTTATTGGCTTTCGAGTGACCACAGCTTGTACAAACATCTTTTGCGAAGCTGCTAGGACCTTCCTGAGTTTCCTGTAGTATCCAAAGGTTATCTTTGCTATAAGCCACCGTATCTCTTTTCAAGTGTGCAGCGATTTGACCGAGGATATCAATGGCAGAAACCCGGACTGGAACATCTTTGGATTTTACCCCTGCGGGGCCTAAAAGCAGCACACAAAGCACCTGCATATATCCAGATTAGATTAAGACACAAACATGGTCATATACCTGCAGGAGAAGGCTTGCAGCTGGAAATTCCGGAACATTTATAGTCGCCAACAGATCCAATACTAGGTTCTCCATCACTAATTTGACATCCGAACCTTCTTGAGCCTTTGGCACAGCCCATCGTTGAAAGACATTCCTCCAGAAGTAATTGCATATGCTAACTGCAGGTTCAAAGCATTTTCTAGTATCGGTAGAGGCCTTCTCCTGTCCAGTTCTCAATTCCGGAAGAGCAACGCTGCACTGCACCAGTTGAAGAAGTAATGCTACTAGCATCTGTATCTGCTTATGTTCTTCCTCTGGTAGATGATATGTCCTCAGGTTCTTTTTCGAAGAAGGGAGCTTCCATAACATGGACAAAAGCTCGTCGATCATTACCGTCTGATGCTGCGGGTAGATGTTGAAAACCTGAGGGGCAAGCATTAGATAGTTTCCCTGAATCAAAAACTAAGACTCACCATGCTGGCAACGCCAATCGCTTTTAACTGCAATAGTTGTATATTGTCAACACCAAACGTGCCGAGAACAGTCTTCATTAGTTGAAGAATGGTGCTATCAAGAAGTTTCTCCACTGATAATAGGTCCTTCAAAAGCGCAAGTATGCTACACAGCTTATGAAGAACTATAGAGACAGCAGTAGACACCCTGCAAAGCAAAAGATGATGATAATTGAACAAGAAAATGCAAGTTAAATGGTCACCTAGAGGATGTCAGTTTCTTAGCCTTCCCTGATCGACTCTTTCGCCTGCCCCTTTTTCCTTCATCTTCTTCTTCCTCGTCCACTAAGCGTAAAACATCTTAATAAAACTTGCTGAAAACAGTGAGGCGTTACCTTCATCTTCGTCGCCACCATTCTTATGAACTTGTCGGTAAAGAGGATCATATGCCGTAAAAACACTATGGACAATCTGATACCGCGTGAACTCTATGATTCTATCGATGACCTGCCCAAATGCGTAAGTGAGAGTAGCCAATAGGATTAAAGATAGTCACCTCTTCCTTGTAAATCTGCTTGGGCATTTTGGGAGAGGACATGATCATCAATGTTACTTGAACCGCCTCTAACGCGGTCATGACAATCTCAAAATTGTCGGACTCTACCTGAATAAACGTCGTTCAGTACGCAATATTGTGCAAAGGTAAACTTACGTCATCTCCTTCGTCTATTTCCTTCAAATGAGCATGCCTGACGTGCCGATCCAGAAAATTTAAAAGCTTGATAAGCCGCTCGGAAGGGATCTTAGACACAGCAGCCTTTGCATGAAGTGAGGTAATCTCCTCCGAGATTGATTTCATCTCTTGGAGGGACAGGGTCGTTCCTTCCTCTTCACCGTCAGGATCACCATGAGTGTCTGACCTCTCAAGGAACTCGTTCAAAAGCTCACATATTCCACTGGTGATACCATCTGCATTTTTGCACGTAAACCACTTGATACACTGCTGCTCTAAACAGGTACTCACTTTGTTTCAGTTCACGACGTCCAGAATCTGCCGCCCGCTTTTCTTTGCCTTGATGATCCGCATCATGCTGGTGCTTACGCTTTAGCCTGGGCTTTTTCACCGTAGACTGCTCTTCGTGATCCTGAAGCACTGATGTTTTATAACGTGACTATCTAACAACAAGTACTGTTACCTCTGAGTTTTGCAAAGGTCCTGTACGTGCTGCGAAAGATGATGGCTGTGACTTCGCTTTAGGCACCTCAGCTTTCAAGGGAGCTGTGGAGACGGGAGCTCAGTGAAAGCATTCCAAAAAAGGAAGAGAGAAAAAAGGAAAAGGAAAATACCTGAAAAACGGCAACTAAATGCTTGGGGATTAAACTTAAGAACAGCGGCCGCCAAGCTTCCAGGCTCGGCCACAACGGGCGGAATCGATGTCTCGTCTTTCAAGGTGCTGGAAATACGATCGACAAGAGATAGAAGGGATTATAATCTCGACTCTTTCGACTTACATGTAGCTCGAGTCGGTATTGGCGAGAAGCTCCGCAATTTTCCCGGCCTTGGACATGATCGCGGCATCTCTAGCACCCTGGAGCCGCGCTGCATGCTCATTCTCCTCAAACAGCGATAATCCCTGGCTCGTCGCTCCAAACCCGATTGGAAGGCTCGGCAGCGGCAGCGACTGCGCAATCTCCGTGTGCGCGGTATTGGCGAGGCCGTAAGTCTTCCTATCGCCTTCTTCCATGGAGAGAGATTGAGAATCCTGGCCGCTGTGATTCCAATGGCACCTAAACCCTTGACCTCTTTCCTCGCGGAGCTAGGGTTCTAGCGCCGGCGCAGCTGGGATGATCTCCAGCATTGCGCGGCGATCCTCACCCGCGCCATTCCCTCGTCGCCGAAAGAGCAAAAGAAGCCCTTGCCGCTTCTTTCCTTCTAAAGCACACACAGCAATATTACTCACGGAAAACTATGGCACGGGTTCGATACCTCCCACTGCTATCATTTTTTTGGTTCCTGGCAATAGAGATCGTCCAAGAGGACGATCACGGCACCGTCGTCTCGATCCACCTCCATCGCGCGCGCCGCGGCGATTTCTCCCCGCTCCACATCGCGATGGATCCGGCACGCCGCGAGCAGCGATCCCCACGCGGCGGCGTCGGCAGGGAAGGGCATGGCGTGGATCAAACCCTCGGCGAGCTCCAGCTCTCCGGCGCGCCCCAGGATGTCGATCATCGCGCAGTAGTGCTCGCGGCTGGGCGATAATCCGTGGTCCGGCGCCATAGATCGGATGTAGTGCCGCGCGGAGTCCATCCGGCCGCAAGCGCCGAGGAGGCTCGTCAGGGAGATCGCGTCGGGGGATTCTCCATGCTGCTCCATCGATCGGAAGATCTCCAAGGCGGATCTGTCGCTGGCTCCATCGCTGGCTGCGATGAGCGAGCTCCAGGAGATGCTGCTGGGCTGGGGCATGGAATCGAGAAGATTCTTGGCGCTGGCAAGATCGCCACTGCGGGCGTATGCCGCGATCATGGTGTTCCACGAGCAAGGCGACTTCTGTGGCATGGAATCGAAGATGGATCTCGCGGATTCGAGGTCTCCTCGCTGGGAGTAGCCCTGGATCATCGTCGTCGCGGCCACGGCATTGGGCTCGTGGAATCGATCGAAGACGCGCTTGGCGAGGGAGAGATCTCCCGCTGCGGCGAATGCAGTGACGATCATCGTCCGGGAAATCGCGTCCCACCCCGGCATCCGATCGAACACCAGCTTTGCTTCGTGGATCTCGCCGATCTCCACGAGCCCCTGCGCGATTGAGTTCCAAGAAACGGTGTTCTTCCCCAGCGTAGAGTGGAAGATTGCTTTGCCACGATCCAGATTCCCTGCCCGGGCAAGCGCTAGAATCATGGTGTTAGTCACAAACGCGCTCCTTTCCGGGATCTTGGCATAGATCTTCTCGGCCTCGGCAATCAAGCCCTTGCGCGCGTAGCCTTGGATCACGGTAGTCCAGGAAACTATGTCCCAGCAAGGCATTCTCTCCAGGATCACCATCGCCTTGGAAATATGCCCAGTTTGGGCATATCCTGCGATCGTCGTGCCCCAGGTCACGAGATTGTTCTCTGGCGATTCATCGAACAGCTGCTTCATCGCGTCGAGATCGCTGTTCATGGAGAGAGATCGCAGCATCGAGCTCAAGCTCACGAGATTCCACTGCGGCATAAGATCGAAGAGCGCCTGGCAATGCTGCGAATGCCCAGACCCGGCATTGGAGTAGGCCGCGAGGATCATGTTGTAGGAGACGAGATTGGGGCGCTGGATCGCATCGAAGACCGTCCTCGCGTCGCCCGCGCTGCCGCATTTGCCATACATCTGGACGACGAGATTGGCCAGATAGGTGCTGGCGCTGATTGATCTGCGCTCACTGCCGGCAATTAGGGCGTGGATCCTCCGGCCCTCGCGCAGATCGGCCGCGTCGCTCGCGTTCTTAAGCGCCGCCGCGAAGCGTTCCTCGATCTCGTCCTTGGATGCGCCCAAGAATCTTCGCCCGGCCACATTTCGCGCCAGATTTTGTCAAAAATTAGGGTTCTTGGATCTCCGCCTAGCTTTAAAGGTCTGTTTTATCGTTTAAACCCTAAACCTTTAAAAGACCAAATGATGGGTTAATTTGTGACCATATGGCCCAAAGAACGAAGCTTTTTATTCCCTCTTCGTCCTCCAGGGTTTTTCGTTCGTGCGATGCGGCAATGGTGCTTCCTCCCGTGCTGCTGCCAGGGTTTCAAGATCGAGGAAGAACGCGAGGTATTCCTAGATCGCTCGCGGCGGCAATCTTTCTTTCTTTCTTTCCCCCGTCCAGGTCGTGGAAGCCGGGGACATCATCGAGCCCTGTTGCGCAGCAGCCGCGAGAACGGGACCAGCGATGAGCGCGGGCGAGCTGGAATCGCAAGCAATTCGTGTCGTGAGCGAGATTTTGCAGCACCAGGCCGTCTCGGTGAGCGATCCCCATCTTTGTGGCACTCTTTGTTTGCGTGAAGATTTTTTTCTTCTTTTCTCGCGTGACAGTTCTTTCTTCTTCTTGCGAGTCGAATGAAAATGCCTTCCTTCTCATCGTTTCTCTGTTTGTATCTTTGTGTATTGATTTGGGCTTCCTCAGGTTGAAGAAAAGGACCACAAAGCTCCGTCAAAGGTGACTTCTTCTTCCATCTAGGTAAGATCGAGAGAACATCGTTTGATCCTTTTCGCAGAGTGACTCGCTGGGCATCGATGAATTCGACGACCAGATCATCCTGCCGGTAAGTTCACGTAAGTTTTGCTGCGAATGCTCACAAGCTTGTATTATTCTACAACGTACAGAGCGAAGACGACGGCTACGAAGTAAGATTTTCGTTCTTTTTTGCAAAGACCATCACATATTCGCGAGATTCGTGAGCAGGACACCTTCAGTACAACCACGAGTTTGCTCGATCTCGCAACGGAAGAGAACAAAGAAGGCGAGAGCATACCCGTGGTAAGTAAACGGTGTTTATCCTTTTTCTTTTCTTTCTTGTCTACGAGTTGAAACGTCGGGCGTGCCAGGAGAACGTCGACAACGCCGCATCTCGAGTAAGCATCTGAAGAGCTTTCAAGGCGCTAAGAGAACTTTGTGTTTCTTTTTCAAGGTGGAGGCAGATCCAGGGCCTGTAGAAATGTACGTGAAAGAAGAAAGCATTTGGATTCTAAAACCATATGAGCTTACGACGCGATGAATCGTTTGATCTTGTGTTTCTCACAGGAACTTACTGCTGGTTGTGGCTCTGCTCGTCCTCATTTGGTGGCAGCTCTACCGCAAGTCCGCCGTAGCATCGCAACCGTGGTCACTCGCGAACCATCCAACTCTCCGATAAACGTCACGCAAGTATGTTCTTTTTCACCTCTTCTCGTGCAAGATCTCTTACGCTTAATTCCAACGCAGGAGCGAGTCTTCCTTGATCGAAACAAAAGGAGACCAAAGCGTTTTTTTTCTTTTTTTTTTCTCTTTTCCTATGGAGAAAAATCCTTGTCTTTTTGTTCCAAGTAATTGGAATTCTGGGATTTACTTCGTCTAAGCTGGCAACCATCTTACTAGAAATGAAAATAATTTAAATCGTGCATGCTTGCTTTGGAAATTAGAAATTTTTGGAAACATTCACACCACAGCGACTCTTTCACCCACCCTTCAACACATGTTTCCTAGTCAGTCTCCATAGTCATTTTTTTGCGTTGCACAAATTTCTAGACTACAAGCATATTCTTGAAGCTGAATACATTACTATTTGACTGTCGTTTGCAATCGAATGAAGTGTATTGAAATTCGCTTCCACCAAGTCCAAAATGAAAAGCTGGTACTAGAGTATAAGTGATGATTCTCATAAGGTTTGCACTCTCTTCAAACACCATCGTTTTGCTCTAGGAGTCTGTTCTTCATCTGAGTGGGAGGAGAACTGTGCTGTGCATTGAACGAAATAAACATAGTGACAGTGTTGAGCTCTTTTAGTGTGTTTTAGACACTTTTGACATGACAATGGGACATGACTGCTCAGTTGATGGAACTGAGATACTACTGAGTACTCAACTTGACAGCTCTTGGGACAAGAGAACTTGTATCAAGAGTACAAAGACAATCTATAAGAACACTATGCACCAAGAACTTAGGATTTGAGTAAGTAGAGACCATTTCTCCATTTCAAGCCTTTCGTGCTATATAGAAGTCTGTCAAGAAGGATGTAACGAATAAGAGAGATTCCATTCTCGCAAGAATTATTTGTTATAAACTTGACAAGCTCACATAGCAAACAATCCTTCCTTACTCGCTCTCTTCTCAGCTCCTCTGTCAAAACTTTTTTTCCTTCTTGTTCTTCCCTGTGAGATCTCTCTTCCATTCCCGAGAACCACTGAGCGCCATATCAATCGCGAATGAATTGATAGTGTCTCTGGATCAGCCATAGAGAGCCAAGACGGCGTCAATGTACCTGTTGCAAATCGGGCACTTGGCACGCTGGCGCCGGATCTGCTCGCCGCAGCTCTTGCACATCCGGTGGCCGCAGGGGACGAGCGCCGCGTCCTTGGGCACGTCGAAGCAGATGCAGCAGCAGTCCTCGAGCGACGCCTCCAGCAGCGCCGCCGCCTCCACCCGCGACTGCTGCGAGCTTACCACAACCTTCATCCTGCAAGGATCCTCTTCAGAGAACAAGCTCGACGTCAAGTCAGGAAGAGCACCATTACCGCCGGCGTACAACGAGTAGTAGCCCTTCCTGCCGCCACCGCTTGCAAAGCTCTCAAACCCGGCGTTGCTGTTAACCGCAGAGCCACCACCACCGCCACCTCCGCCGCCGCCACCACCACCACCACTGATATAATCGTCGCCACCATCGTTGCTGATGCTCAGGTTGCTCAGAGTGCTGTCCAGGAACGAGAGGATATCAGAATCATCAGGCCCACTAGAAGACAGACCTGACGATAGTTTTGCTCCTCCACCACCACCGCCGCCGCATTCCCCCGCGGCCGGTGCTGGGAACTCGCCCAGGGAGGCACTAAAGAGCGTCGTCGACGTCGACGGCAGCCTCTCCACCGGGAAGAGCGTGGCCAGTAGCGCGGAGATGTATCCCTGTGAGTCGAGGCACGGCTGGTCCGACCAGACTGGCGACTCCAATCCATAGCTGCTGTGGCTGCTGCTGTTGGTGGTGATATTCTCTGGTCCCGGGGACCTCCCCCACCGAGACGATGACTTGTTGTAGGCGTCGTCCTCGAGCGAGGAGCACGATCTCGGCGACGACCACGACGAGGAGAGAAGCAGAGAGAGCTGCGACGCCTCGTTGTAGTCGCTCACCTCGCCGTTGAGTGGGCTCCTGCTCGATGGGAAGAGCTGTGGAGTGATGGGATTGTGCTCGCACGACGTCGAGGCCTGGAGGTGGTGCTGGTGCTGTTGCTGGTATTGTTGTTGTTGCTGCTGCTGTCCAGATGACTTTGGAGGCATGATAACGGAGCAGGGAGGAGCCGGAGGACGTAAACCTGTTGGACGTGGAGTCGGAAGCAGTGGAGGGAGATCGTGAGCTGGCTGGAGAGTCGGAGGCGGTCGATGGGAAGGGTCCGGGGGAGCTGGGACGCCGTTAGCTGGCAATGGATGATAGCTGTTCGCGTTGGTGACGGCCGCCGTGTTCTTTCGGCCGCTGCTTTTTGGTTTCTTTGGCTTCAAGGGCTTGTCTTTCTTCGCCTTCGGAGGACTGGAAGTTGGCACCGTGGAAACATCTGAAACCGGCAGAGACTCCTCTTCCTTTTGCTGTGGCTCACTCGCGGTCTGGCTTTCCATCTCCAGAAGAAGCCTCTTCGCAGCTGCAAGCTTTTCCTGAAGAGCAGCGGCAAATCTTGACGACTGCTCGACCGCAAGGACGGCAGCTTTCAGCCGATCGTAGCTTCCATCCTCTATAGCAGAAGTGAGCTCATCCTCTAGAACGCTAGCTTTCTCCCTGCGCTTGAGCCGCTTTGCTAGAGCACCCTTCACCTGCTTAAGTAACCGCTCGTCCACCAGTTCTTGAGCACCGTCCTCACAAGCGCTTATGGCCGCCTCCATCTTTTCCACCTCACCCGAGGCCATAGCTTCACGTAAAGTCGCATTCAAGAGCTCTATAGCTTCTTGCTTCTCGCATGATGACACAGGTTCTGCTGCTGCTTTAGCCACCTTTTGACCCTTTTGAGACTTCTTCTTACTGCTTTTAGATGCTTTCTGAGATATCTTGGCCTTCTCCTCCCCTTCAAAACTATCTAGACAATCGGCAGTAGCTTCTGAAACAGCTGGTATAACTGTGGTTGTGGTTTCACCTGCTAGCGAATTAGTTGTCACGGACTCCGCATGGGCTACCTCTACTGTCTCTACTTCTACCGCTGGCTCTACCTCAACCTCCTTTTCAGTCGACACAGAAGCTGAAACATCTCCTGTGAGCTCTGAACTAGGATCCTGCTCTTCCTCCCGAGAAAGTGCAGCCCCATTAGTCGCCTTCTTTTTGCTGTTCTGTTTGCTCTTAGCCTTCGCCTTTTCCCGGGCTTTTTTCCTTCCCTGCAATTGCACCTGTTCCTTGAAAAACTGAGCTGCCAGGTTCTGCCCAAACAGCTCCGAATGCCATTCCCCGTTCTTCCCATCACCATCAGTCACGAATACGTCCACACCCCTCTCCACAAGAGCCTTGAGGCACGTGACATCACCGGCTTCGGCAGCCTCGTGTACAAGGAAGACAACTTGAGAAGCAGTAGCGATCCTGTATGAAAATAAAAGTCAAGATAAGACGGTCCCAACGTGTATGCAGTACCTGAAAACACCGAGTCTTGCTAATGCAAGCCTTGCGGACGTACAGACTTCCATATGTGGCTTTTTCAATCGTAGCCCGTACGAAGGAATGGAAAGAAGTCCGCCATGCCGATGTAAAGCAGCAGCCAATGCCTGCAAGGAGAACATTTAGATGCTAAGAAAATAGAGAAATGAAAGAGAAAGAAAAAAAGTAAAACCGAAATACCTGGACAAAGCGACCTGTCAAAGGATCGACTGTGTTCAACCGATCCTTCATAAGACCAGCAACAGCCCAAAATGCAGCACACAATATCCGCAACTCCACAACAGTTGACGTTGCGACAGCTAGAGCGTCCCTATCCGCATCTGGAAACTCGGCTTCTGCTTGAATCTCCACTTCAGCACCCTCTCGTAACAACCCGAATGCAGTGAAAACGTTCTTCTTCCAGTAGTGTACGGACGAGATACACTCCAATAGTCCTTGCAATGCTCCATCCTCGAGAAAACTTGCACGCCATACGGAATTATGCTCTGCCATGTAGCCAATGACAAAACAGACGTGTGCTGCCACCTCGGGTGACGGAGCTTCAAACACCCTCCGGAACAGCTCCAGAGCAAATGCAGGACCACCGCAACCGGGAGCAGCTATTACCGCCGTTTGGAAAAGGCCAACTTGAGGTGCATCGAGAACCAGCCTCTCGAAGAAAGGATTCCATTTTCCTCTGAGAGAAGAGCTGTCGTCTGCAGGAGTATCCCGAAAAGATGGACAGTTGACCCCCTCCCGGAAAATATGAGTGAGGCCAACAATGGAAGCCGAAGCCTGATTGTTGCGCCGTCGACGGTTGGATTTTCCAGCAGGAACTGTCTTGGAGATTGCGGAGTTCCAGATGGCATCAAAATCTGGCTGTCCATGTGAGTCGATACCGAGAGCGTGGAGTCCATTGACCTGAATCTGACTGTCTTCGTTGTAGCGATCCAGGACAGTCAATATTAAATCCGCACCACCATGAGCAGACACCGCCACCTGAGCACGTACGCTGCAGCCACAGACCGTCGCAAGCACACAGCAGGCTTGCTGTACAACTTTCCTTCTGTGTTGAGCACTGCCACTCAATAGCGCCTTTTGCATAGCACCTAGAACCGCTTCAGCTCCAGGACATCCCAGATCAAATACCGCCTCGATCTCCTTGACTGTTGCCGCCGACACACAGGCACCATAGAGAGCATGAAGTGCAAGGCTGGTAACGTCGAGCCGATTTTGGCTTGTCCAGTGAACCACAAGATCAACAAGCTGCTTGACACCTGCTTCGCCCTCACCCCTGCAGGCAGAAGTTGGAAAATTTATAAAGGTGACAAGAAAAACGTCATGTATAAACTCACCATATTTTCGCCTTGTACTCTTCGCGATCAACTTCTGTCCCAGGTTTAAAGAGATGCAAATTTTCCCAGGTGAGGTACAAGCTTACCAACGCATGGCATGCCCAGATCACCGTCTCCGCGTCCTCTAGCTTGTAGAATATCGTCCGAATGGATAGTATAGCATGCTTCACCGCCAGAGGAAATCCAACATCTTCGGCAATTTTAGCCATTGACTCCGTTGCTTCTTGCCAGGCCTTGATGTCCTTGACGGCTTGCTGCTGTGAGGCACCAAAGCCACTCCAATCAATCCAAGAGGAGCTCCCGCAACACTTGTGACTGCTTGAGCAGATGTGGTGGCTCCCTTTCCTTTCACTTTCTTCGTCCGGCTTTGCTGTGTCCAAAGAGCTCTTCTCGGATTGCGCACCATCCTCGGACTCATCATCACCAGAGCTCTTCATATCAATATTCAGAAACTGCTCCCCGTTTGAGCGGTCTAGGAAACTCTTGTTGCTTCTGAAGAAGTCCACGCAATCACTGTTTGTGAAGCCACCCTTGCCAATCGCGATCTCCGAATCCCGAGTAAGGTATCCAAAAACGTCTCCAATAGCCCCTAATGCAGCACACCAGCTTTGCCGCACGGACGAGAAAAAAATACTGGATGTTGCCGTCTGAGTTCTCGAGTAAAGTGTCGGCTTCCCACGAGCTGGATGAAGGGACGTGGCCTTCGCTTGATTAGTCTGAGATCCTGTCGAGCTGTTGTTGTATGAGAAGGCCATCGTTCGTGATATCATATACATCACCGAAGCCGCCTGAGAAAGGATAAACTTCGCCAACCAATCTGAAGGAGAAGGTGCCCCAGCCTCGGCGCTCTTCACATTTGAATCTGCTGCAGAAGGAAGTGACTCCGTCCTCAAAGAATCATGTGCCAGCAAATGCTGAGAAAAAAGTTGAGGCTGCAAACTGGAAGCCGATGCGCATACGGGGCCAAGACACTTCGCATAGTGGACGTATGGGAGAAATGCTTGCTGCAGCACTGCACACCCCCAAACTTGGACGGTCTCAACTTTCGAAAACTCCCGCATAGCCGCCATGGTTGCTTCAACAGCTGCGCTGATTCTTTCCACATTGTCGACGATATCCTTCCCTGGAAAGTCCGGAGAAAGTGTAGCATCCTGCTTCTGTGACTTCGAGCTGTCGGTTTTTCCTGCATCTGCAGCATCAACTCCAATCGCTGGCTTGACAGGTACATCAGTACATGTGGAGCCGAAAGTTGCAGTCTCGCCGGAACCTTTGAGAATACAGCCAAGAGCGAACGTTCCGTTGCTTTGTAGAGATTTGGACTTGCTGAACATCTTCATCGCACTAACAACTGCTCCCAAAGCTGCCCACCAGTCAGTAGATTTCTCTAAGCTCTCCTCAGAATCAGGCTCCTGTCCTTCAGACTTTGCAGTTGACGAGAGAAAAAGGCCGATCTCATGCCCGTTCTCCGCAAGTGTTCTGACCATAGTTCCGATGACGTTGCAACCTTCCTGCTGCATCATCTCGTTCATTCTGCACACGGACATTGCCCCGACAACAGCGGTAACTGCACCCAGGCTCACCATATTCGCAACGCTTTTGACCCCAGCAGAATGGACTAAAGTCCACAGGGTACTGCAGCCGTGCCACTGAATTCTGACATCATTCGGGAAAGATGCCATTGAAGAAATAAGAGCTCGAGCACCTGCCTCCCTGTCTATATCCCTTGAAGCTCTAAGAGGTCTCTTTCCAGTTCTCCATTCCGGGACTCCAAGACCAGTCCTAGTGCAAAGAACTTGCAATGCACCACACCCTGCCCTCTGTGTAAAAAAAGTGTCAGGCATAGCTCGAAATCTTGAAACCACAGTGTACCTGTACTGCGAGGTTGCTAGGATGATTATCCATTGCAATAGTTATCGCAGCCCATGCGGCATGACCGGTAGTGGAAGAAACTGCTCTGATTAGTGAACCAAGAGCCAGACAACTTTCTGCCTGCATATCCGCATCATTAGCGAACTCTCGCATAGCCGCTATTATAAAAGTGAACGCATCATCACACGCCGTCTTAGAATTCGTAGAAGATAGATGTGCCGAAAGAGCCCTTAATGCTGCTAATAACACAAATATCAATAACAGAGACACAAGAAGAAAACACCGAAAGAAATATACGTACCGGCCATGGTCGAATGAGATTCGATGCTGCATGACTGCATTGCGTTCAAAATCGCTTTGACAGCTTTCTCTGCTAGCATGGGAACGGTCGCCGCATACGCCACCGCAGCTAGCGCAGAAATAGAGCTGCTTGTGCTCTCCGATGAAATGCCACCGCAGAATGTTGATTGCAGCATCCCTTTGTAACTCTTGCCCGAGGAAAGCGTACGCGCTGCTGCCACATAGCTTCCCGAGGTCGACTTCGATCCTATTTTCAAGGTAAAATCAGATGATGTCGAGTGCTCACGATACTTGGTAGCCAGCTTCAAAAGTGCTTTGGAGGGGAAGAGCTTTTGGTCCAAAAGTGAGTGATCAGCCGGAGCAGGATGAGCTTGGACGGAGAGCGATTGATTGTCAGCGTTGTCAGCCTTCGACACATCATCGTCATTGCTGACAGTCTCTTTTACCGGAGCAACACTGCTGTACGTGCTACTTTCGAATGACGTTCGATCCAAACTACCGGGTGGAAGTATGCTGCCCAAACAATTCAGGCACCAGCTCAGCAGGTCCACATTGTCCTTGAGAACATGAACCATATCCACGAATGCCTCTGTGAGAGCTACGTACATCTCAGCAGAGAGTGCCTTGCCCCGCTTGCCATTTCCTATTCCCAAGCTCGAGTTTCCCGCCTTCACCTTGACACCAGTTTTCGATTGCAATGCGGCAGTCAGCAGCTTGTCCAATGCACTGCATGCAGTCGCCACTACGTTCGACATGCCCGACGATTTGGCGAGTAAATATACGCCATCACCCTCCTCTTCGCTCACAGTGCTAGTACTATCTTCCGAGTCGTCCAGATCCGCCTTGCTACTATCTAAAAACTTGTCCTTGTTCTCATCTAGCTCCACCGCTACGTCGTTACTATCCTCCCTAACTTTCCCGTTCTCCAAGGTAACCCCTGTTTCCGGGACTTTCCCCTCGTCCTGTGGCCTAAAGTTCTCTGCGTGTTCACTAAACCCCACTACTTTCCGAGAGCTACCAACCTTCAAGCTGCGTCCCTTGAGCTTCAAAGGCTTTCTGGACTTCTCCAGGAACGAAGACCTGCATTCCCTGTTCTGATAGCACGGCACCACGTCCTCTTCTTCTACAACAGTCCTCTGCCTTTTCCTCCGCGACTCGGAGGGAAGAACAACCTCGTCCATAGCAGCAACAGCGGCAGCAGCAGCAGCCGTCACTGTTGACTCGAGCACGTCCAGAAACTCCGCTCGGGCAGCCTCGGTGAAAGCGGGAGCAACGACCTGTCCCCCAGGATCATGCTCGTCGCTCTTGGACGACGATGATCTGCCAGTAGCACCACCACCACCGGACTTGGAAACTTTCGATGATGCCACCTTGCCTGCCTTGCCCGTCCCAGCCCCGCGGAAGTGCTTGACACACGATGCAATGAGGCAAGCCCCGTTGGCCGAGATGATCAGAGAGACGGCAGATGGCAGACTCAACGCACTCCCAATCTCCACAAGTAGGCGCTCCGCAAGCTCAGGGTCAGGAACCTTAATGGCATCCTGCAAGCCTCTCACGTACTCATACAAGGTGTCTTGGAGAGCCTGCTGCGAGCAAGAGACCGAGGAATTAGGGCTGGAAGAAGAACACGCAGCAGCAGCAGTGGTGGTAGTAGTGAGAGAAGCCGAGGAAGAAGAGGAGCTAGAAGAAGACTTGGAAACAATGGCCGAGATGGTGGTGGAAGGAGAAGACGAGGAGGACGAGGGCGTCATGGGCTCAGAGCATGCTGGCAGGGACGACACAGGGAGACCTGCACAGCGAGAGTGGGACGAGAATGAGCTACCGGAGGATGAGCAAGGAATGCATAACGAAGAGAGAGCAAGGGTTCCATGGAGAGTACCGGCAGAGGAGGAGGAGCAGCAACTGGTGTGGCAGCAGTGGTGAGAATCCGATGGGCTTCGTCGACTCGGCGGTAGCACTGGCTTCAATGCGGCACTAGCTCTCGGCATAGCAGCTATTCTCTCCAGTCATGCCAGGCAAAAAAAAGCTAGCGCGCTCGCTCTAGTACCTGAGAGGAACCATGCAATCAATCCGAGGGAGGAGGGGAAGAAATATCTCTCCGGCCTGGATGAACAAGCGACCACTTTTAGCGACACCGCAGACCTAAATATCGATCGAAATACCTGTTCTTGAGCTCGCAGAAACCCCAATGGCGGACGATTTCGCGATTTTCCTGCTCGGCCCTTAAACCCTGCGGCAATGTCGCCACGGCCAAGCGAATTCCCTGCCGTTCCGGAGCCCTGCTGTGAAGAAATGCCGGATTCTACGCGAGGAGAGGAAATGCCGATGCTGGAACAGTCCGAGGCCGTCGACTCTACGTCGAGCAGAGAAGGATGAAGCTCGCGAGCGCCGGGCGCGCTGTGGCGCGATTACTTGGCGCTGGGCGCTTGCTGGAAGGAGAAATTTCTGGCGATAACGAGACCTAGGTAAGTAGAACAAAGAGTGGAGGAGATGACGTTGGCGACGGGCGACGACGGACCGTCCTGACTGGCACAAGCCCTAATTCAAGCACGCCGCCATATACAAGGCCTCTTCACACTGGGGCTTTAACTGCCCTGTCCTAAGCATCGAGTCGCTAGATATTTATCAAACCAAAAGTGACTTCCAAGGAAAACTAAAGACGATTATATCATTTAATTCCCTAGTTCACGGAAGAACACCCTCCACATTCAATGGAACGATCTTCCATTCCATTTTCTTGCTTTCCCTCGATTCATCCATGCGGTCATCTGGAATTTGCAAAGAATGTGAGATGAAAAACTCGAAAAAAAAAACCTTGGTCTAAGAATGTGAGATGAAAAATGGAATAAGTCTCGAAATCAAAAGAGAAAAAAAAAGGTACCTTGGTTTTGGAGGATGATCCCGGTTGAAGTATAGCTCGTGGAATGTATCGCCAGCCTTTGTCCAAGGATTCTCATTCCGCGGCTTCTTTGTCGTCGCTCCTTCTCAGCGTCTCGAGAATGACTTTGGAGATCTCGACGTCGGGGGAGAAGCCTCGCTCCGTGAGCTCGTGAAAGATCTCGCAAACGTCGTCGCTGCGCTTGGCCTTGCACAGCTTGTACATGAGGAGGTTGTACTCTGGGATCAGTGGCACGCACTCGAACTTCACCATCGCCTGGAACAGCTCGCACGACTCCGTCAATCTCTCGCCCCGGCAAAGCCCGATGACAAGCGGTATCACCACCGCGGCATCTGGAGCGCTTCCGTTCGCGATCATGTCCTTGAAAACCACGAAGGCTGCTCCAACTTTGCCAGCTCTACACAGACAGTCGATGATGGTCGAGTAGCTGAATGCGTCGGGCTCCAGTCCGGACTTTGGAATCTCGTAGAACAGCTTGATGGCATGGTCGAGAGCTCCAGACTTTGAATATCCATCGATGAGAATGTTGTAGGAGACGATATCCGGGCCGACACCCGACCTGATCATCTCCCTGAGCAGCCTCTGAGCTTCGTGCGGCTTCCCTTTCGAGCACATCCCCCTCATCAAAGTGTTGTAGCTCACCACGTCCGGAGGACAGCCGAGGCTTCGCATCTCTAGAAACAGCCGGTGTGCCTCCACCATGTCACCCATCTTGCAGAAGCCATCCAGCAGATTGTTGAAGGTGAAGATGTTTGGCACGCATCCCTGGCGAAGCATGTCCTTGAACAAGCTCTGGACCCTTCCAAACTCGCCTTTCCTGGAGAATCCACTGAGCAGCGAGTTGTACGTGAAGACCGTGGGTATACACCCCTTCTCGAGCATCTCCTCGAAGAGCCTGTACGCTTCACCCATGTCACCCTTCTTGGAGAAACCATCTATGAGAACGTTGTAAACCACACCATCTGGCGGACAGCCCCGGTAGACCATCCTCGAGAAAAGATCCACGGCCTCTTTGAGCTTCCCCATCTTGCACAGCCCGCTGAGAAGCGACCCGTAAGTCACAACGTTTGGCTGGTGGCCACCATCGATCATCTCGTTGAGGAGCTCGGCAGCCTCGTCAACCTTTTGCCCTCTACAAAGCCCCGCGATCAAAATGCTATACGAGAACACGTTTGGAGAGCAGCCCTGTGCGGCCATACCTCGGAAAACACTGCGGGCTTCTTCGAATCTCTGGGCTTGACACAAGCTTCGCAGGAGGTAGCCATACGTGTATGTGTTTGGCACACAACCTGCACCCAACATATCGTTGTAAGTTCCATAGACGTGATCACAGCGTCCAGACTTAGCGAGTACCTCCAGGAGATAGTTGTAGCTCAAAGTTCCATGGTTGTAGTGGACTTGGCTCCCAGCCCATTGAAAAAACGCCATTGCCAAGTCTGGATCGACTAGCTGCCTGAGTACCTGTGCCACGACTCTATCCGATAGTCTCCTACTGAAGCAGCCGAGCTTCTGATCGACGAGATCCATGGAAATCTTTCCCTTTCTCTCATCGCTCTCCTCTAGCAGCGCGCGAAGGATTTTCTTCGTGGGATTTGTAGCCGCTGGGCTCTGGATTGCCGCAACACCTTGCTTCTCGCCGGTTTGAATGGGGCTCCAAGGCTCCCCAAAATCGAAACCGGTGATTTCCGCAGCGGCGGCTTCGATAGATGATGATGGCGACGGTGGATCCGCGACCTCGATTCCTGGAAATCACGGCGTTAGGAGGCCGATATTTCGAGAATCGCTCGATCGTCGACGCATTCCGGGCCACTCGAGCTACATTCTTGGAAAGAGTCACGCACCGTAGAAGCGCCGTTGATGGGAAAAGCTGGAATATCTTCGTAGGACACGCACCGCCATAGCCAGGAAGAACCCTAACTATTCGTCACTTTAATAACCCATTTTCTTGCAAAAACTTTAAATGTAAATCCATTTGGTTTAGGGTTCTTTTTTCATTATTTATCTGTTACATTCTTTGTAAACTCCCAAAGCTTTTAGGGTTAGGGCTAGATTTTAGGTCTCGGCCGCCGCTCGAGAGGGCGAGTGAGGAGCGATGGTGAAGCCGCTGGTGAAGGCGAAGATCGTGAAGAAGCGCGTCAAGAAATTCAAGCGCCCGCAGAGCGATCGCAAGATCTCCGTCAAGGTGAGCGTGCATTGAGTGAGGGCTTCGATTTGGGGCGGAATGACATTCTCTCTCTTTGTCTCTCGGTGTAGGAGAACTGGCGGCGTCCGAAAGGTATTGACTCAAGGGTCCGCCGCAAATTCAAGGGATGCACGCTCATGCCCAACATCGGCTATGGCTCCAACAAGAAGACGAGGCACCTCCTCCCAAACGGCTTCTACAAGTTCCTCGTCCACACTGTGGCAGATCTTGAGCTCCTACTCATGAACAACAGGTTTGCGCTCGGTAGATGGGATTGCTGTTTCTTGCAAAGCTCATTCTCTTTTCTCTCCAGGAAATACTGCGCGGAGATTGCTCACAACGTCTCCACTCGCAAGAGGAAGGACATCGTCGAGAGAGCTGCGCAGCTCAACGTTGCGCTCACCAATGGCTCTGCTCGCCTGCGTAGCGAGGAGCACGAGTAGAGTACTCGTTCTTTTTTGTGCTTCTATCAAAAACCATCTCTTTTCCGAGACTAATCGAATCGCAAATCCACCATATAGTGTTCTTGCCAAGAGCCGAGAGAGAGCTTGCCGAGAATGAGAGAGAGATTAAAAATAATGGCCACCGTCCAAACACTTGAAGATCGGACGGCGTCCAGCAACACATCATCGTCAGCAAAGCCCTCTCTTTGCTGTGAAGTAATCGTCCAGCGTAGAGATGGATTTTAAAACTTTGGACGCGGAGTTTGCCAAGAGCATCGAGCCAGCAACTAGTTCTACCTTTCGCTTCTCCTGGAAGAACCAACAAAGAAAAGTTCCATGTAGAAACTTTCGAAGCTAGAAACTTACCTCCAAAATATGCATCACGTAATGCTTCTTGTAAGCTTTCTGGATCCTGCGAGCCGCGTCCTGCGAGAATCACAGTCTCCAAGTTAGAGGACGAACAAAACTAAGCACATACGTCCATGCGATCGTTCTCTTTTTCAATGAGATGGTCCTTCGCTGCTATTTTGATCAACTCTAATCTGGAGTATTGACGAAAAATGCCATTAGTTCCACGCTGAAAAGTTTCAAATCTAAGAAAATTCGACCTGTTTTGCCAATCCTTGTCTTTGACTTTTAGTTGCTCCAAAAACTTTTCACTCCGGTGAGCTTGTTCGTCCCGAAGCTTTTGCTCCTCTCTTAATCTTTCCATCTCTCTGGTTTTGAGCTCCAAACTTAGTTTGGCGGCCTCCAACTGCGCATCTTTATGATGCACTGCAGCCTGTATATAAGAGCAAAAAGCCATTCTTTTTAACACTGCCAGAAAAACCCAAGAACCAAACCTCCAGTGAGTGAACCCTTTCGTCTTGCAGGTCAAGTGCTTCTTGCAAGTTCCGGGTGATGGAACGAAACTCCTCTTCCACATTAATGATAGCTCGAGTGGCCACTTTCATCGCCTGACGAAACAAAACGCTTAATAAATGGCAATTGTCTTGAGCATAGCGACGCTTACCCGTGCACCAAACTGAAGAGAAGATAACGTCTCTTGGAGATACTCGCTACAGGGAGCAATGTTGACGATTAATGACGTCTTGGCATTGCCTGAAAGAGAAATCTTAGAACACTGAGAATAAACTCAAAAGAACTATTATACTTACCTCCTAGCGATTCCTGCAATAACCGAGTTAGCTTGGAGTCCCGGAAAGGGACGTGCAAAACGCTTGGATCTGCTCTCGCACTAATGCATTTACCTACAATCGCAATAAAACATTATAGGATCCCGGAATGAATATGAAAAAAGAGTAAGAAAAAGAAGTATGGTACCTAGTGCCGTGAGAGACATGTTGACGCTCATAGCTTCAGATGCTCGAAGGCCCTCCGAGCCTGTGAAATCGTGTCAGCAACGTTATACGAGAGGAATTTTTATAAGAATCCTACCGCTCTTTTTCAACCTTTCTGACCCAGCAAGATCAACAAGAAAAAGCTTGCCGACAAGGACCCTGGAGAACAAAGGCAAAGAGAAATATAAACCGAATGAAAGAATGTAAAAAGAAGACTTACTTCTCAGAAATTCCAGGCTGAGAGTTGGGAGTTCGTTTCTTCTTGTCAGCTGAGGATTTAGCGTCCAAAGGATTTACCGCCTTCTTCTCAACAGTAAGCATCGCAATCGTATGGCTGCGGGACGAATGGGCATTCTGTAGTTCAGGCACTTGTATCCACATTAGTTATACATGAAGCCGATTGTTAGCCGTTCTCTGGAATGGATTCGTCCCTTGCTTTGTTATGAATGAATAATCGGAACGAAGAGACGAACCAATCTTGTGAAGGCAAAGCGTCGATTTCGATCACCGATCATCAAGAGCTTCATCACGTCCTCGATAGATTTTACTTGCACCTCTTCTATGCCTGCGACAAAAATACCTCCTGCCTCAGTCTCGCGAATGCTGAGGTTGGAATTCTCAGGACGGAGGAGATCTTGAATCTGAGTAAATCAAAACAACGTTATCACCGCCTGCAGCCACTCAAAAGCAACGATCTTACCATTTCCATATAGATCTGGATATATGACATAGAGATTCGGTACTCATGGTCTTTGTCTCTTTCAGCTCTGATGTATATATCGGCTGCGGAACGAGGTATAATTCCTGTGGAATGGAAAGAACCTCTATAAGAAACCAAATACGGTTAAAGCTGGAAGACATACCTTCAATCGAAGTTCCACCAACGTCGTCAAAAACCATGTCCGAGAGTGTGTACGTCTTTCCAGCTCCTGTTTGGCCATAAGCCATAATTGTGCCATTGTATCCATCAAGAACATCCTTCAAAGGCAAATCCGGTTATGAAAGACAAAACAGGAATCCCATGACGAACCTGAATTACAGCTTGAGCAGAGACATTGTAGACATCAGCTTGCGTCGCACTTGGAGGCAAAACAGCATCGAACTTAAACTCCGTGAAATCCACAAAACTCCCCCTGCAAAGTAGACATTCTTAGCCGAAACGAAGTGAAGGAAAAAAAAAATGGAAAGCCTTACTTTCGCCTCACAATCACAGCATTCTTCTCAGTGTCCAAGAAAATAAAAGGAACTCCATCTTCCTTGGTCTCTTCAGCTTTCGTAGGAGGCCTCACTCTCACCGTAACTTGGACTCGTTCTAGAACACAAGAAGAAACAACTCAATCGCAGGAATTTTTCTTCTTTCGCTTACCTGAATCGGGCTCGCTTGCTTTGCCATTGTTCTTCCCCTTCCCCGGCACCTTGGCATCCATCACCACCAGCTTAAATTCATCGCTAGGCATCTCGATCTGCGACGAAGCTCCCCTACCTCCCTCTGGCAAGATCTCCACAAACTCGAATTTATCCTGCCTCGATCCATAATCACCACACCGAATTCCTCCATCAAAAATCCCTGACCTAGCTACATTCCTACGACTCTAGCTTCTGCACCTTACGACGAACCCGATCGCCAGATCGCATCGCAATTCCTACACCTAAACCATCGCCTTACAGAGATTTCGCCGCTCCTCCACTCCGATCACCGCTATCGCCGAGAAGAGAATGCTGGCTCCACTGGAAAACAAGGAAGCCCTAAAATGGCGATACTCGGTGAATATTCTCAAGACCAAGACAGGCATATTCCATTCCACGAAAGGACGTGTCCAGACAAACGATACACTCTTTCATTCTAAGTTTAAGCCGTGGTGACCTTTCTCCTCCCCACTCTAGCAACGAATCCAGCTTTGATAGGAGCAACCGAGCGAGAGCTCCCGCACTAAAACAACAAAAGAACAAAGAGAATTAGAATCACGACTTTGATCGATGCTTACTTGCTCGCATCGTAGAAAAAAGAGCCTGTTTTCTTTCGAAAGAATAGTGTCGGGGCTCTTGCAGCCATTGCACATAACGTATTCATCTGCGATCGATAAAGAAATGATTTCTCCTAGACAAACGAAACGAAGGAAATGAAAAGAGATTGAGAACTTACTCACGTATCGACGCAGAATCCCCTCAAAGTTCTTCGGCACGAATCGCCCCTTGACAACAAGTCGCTGCTGTCCGTCGAGCGAGCCGCTCGTTCCCAGCTCGGCGAGGAGAAAAGCCATGACGTGCTCGGGTTGTCGGTGCATTCTGCAAGAAAGAAAGAAGAATGTGAGAAATACAACTCTCCGTGGCATGGTATGGCCGAGCTTACATCTTGCAGAGATCCATGAAGTTGACAAACACCGTCTTCTTCGTACCCTCTCGGAGCACCTGTGGAGGCCGCATGATCGTCCTCCTCTTCTCCCCAGCGAGCTCGGGATTGTTCTCGTGGAGAATGTTAAACACACGTCCCAGCAGCTGAAAAAAAGAGAGATGGATTCGTATTTGGTTGAGAAAATGCAGATTCTTACCTCTTCATAAAAGTATTCTCGGTCTGTTCCTTCCCAAGGATATCGCGGTCCCAGCACAATGCCTTCTCCTTCCTCGTCTTCGCCTTCTTCGAGCCCTATCAAAGGGAGAAAGAAAAAGCTTGAACTCTTTCAGTCATATGCATCAGACGTACCATTAGTCTCGGCAGCATCCAAGTTTTCCTCTTCCGCGACATCAGCTTCCACAGGCTAGAGAAAACAACAGAAGCTCCAACAACAAAAGAAGAACACAGATGGAAAGTACCTTCTTTTTCTTCTTCTTCTTCCCGGCAAAGACAGTCTCGGCGGAGTTATCCACAGAAGAAGACACAGACACTGCAGCCATCAATCTCGTCAAGGAAAAAACGGAGCAAAAAGAAGAAAAAGTGCGTAGATTTCACCTGAGAGACTCTCAACCTTCTCCGTTAGCTTCTCCACGCCATCGCCATCCTCGTCCTCCGCCATCCGGACCTTCTTCTTCTTCTTCTTCTTGGTGGGATCAAAGGGTCCAATCTGGAAGAGCGCATTCCGGTTGGAATCACTCCAATCGATTCCAATCCACAATTGCGCTGTGGAGAGAACACTCCAGCTCGCTTACCTCTGTGGCAATGTCCTTGCTGTCGTCGTCCGCCATGGCGCCGTTTAGCTCGCCCCTCTCGCTCTCTCGCGCTTCTCGCCTCTTCTAGGGTTTTAGACCATTTACCCTACGCCGCCCTAATCTTGGCGCTTCCCGTTTCTTTGAAATGAGCGAGGACGATGAGAGCATCTTCAAGGATGGGGTATCATCCGCGGCGTCCTCGGTGAGATCTCGATCAATCCATCCTGGTAGCTGCCTTCTCTTGCGCGAGTGGCTCTCGGGTCGGTCAGATCGATCTTCTAGCTGCTCTTCCTTGCTCTATCCATCGTTTGCTTGAAATTTCCGACCGATCATCGCAGATTATCTCGTTTTCTTCGCTCCTTTCTGGAGATTTCTGACAATGCGGTGGAATTTCTTCTTCCAGATCCTCGAAGACCCTAACGGCCTCCCGAAATTCAAGAGCAGGAGAACTCCAATGCCTAGCCATGTCGACAGCTCGCAGATCACGAGCTTGCTCTATCCGACGCGAGGAATCAGGCAAGGATAGCAGAGAAATTTTGGATTGGTGGAGTTCGAAGAACAACTTAACGAAAAGTATAACGAACAAATTTTCCAGCTGCGTGGCTCTTCTCTTGGGTGATTTCTTTTTTTCGTCCTCGTGGATTGAAATTTCCCGTCTTTGCAGAGATATGATGCAGCGCATGGGAATCAGACCTCATGACCATCGGAGGGACAACAGAGCGATCATCTCGGAATTAAGCGCTAGAAGTCACGCGATGAAACAGGTCTGAATTCACTCTTTTTCTTTCTTGTGCTTTCGTGGATTCTTACTAGTTGCTTTGATCTAGATTGCGAGTGAGCCGGAGCCACCACCTGTGAAGCCTCCAAGAATCAGGCTGGTAAGTGGTAAGCATCAAGCTCGAGATTTTTCTTCTTCGTTTCGCTCAGTGGTAGCGAAGTTTTCTGAAATTGTTTGGATGATAGGATCATCCTCCGCGTGCTAGCGTAAGATCTGGAGAGACGGACTTTCTCTCCAAGAACTTCAAGGAGGCTGGCGTTCGACGGCCACCTCCCAAGCAAAAACAAAAGCACGAGACACCGGAGCAAAAGAACAATGGCAACAAGAACAAGGAAAGCTTCGGCAAAATACCAGCATAGTGAGTTCTTTCCTTTTCTCTTTTGGAGGATTTGTCACAGCATGCATGGTTTCTATCCATAGTTTGATTCGGAGAAAGATGGAGCTGGCTTTCGATGCGGAACGCAAGTAAGAACATCAAACTCTATCCTGTATACGAAGTTTACGCTGATCAATCACAGGTTGCTGGAAGAGGAGGCTAAAAGCTTGCCTCCAGGATTTGTGCTGATGCCCGACGAGGAGAAGCAAGAGGTGTTAAAGACGCTCGAAGAAAGTAAGTTTCTCTTTGCAATCTTCGTCGTCTTGATCCTTGCATGATCACCGCCAGACAAAGTTGATCTGGAGAACAAGCTCCGAGGTCTTCCGCTGGTGATCGAAACTCCCAGCTTGCTGCGCTCCAAGATCGACATGGACACGCAGCTCCGAGAAACAGAGGACGCGATCAAGCGTTTCTCCAGGCCCAAAGTTTACATCTCTCTGGACGACAGCTAAAAAAGGGGATATACCTGCCGTGCAAAGGCGTGAGAATCCCTGCGTGGATGGCTGGATAGCAGCCACGTACGCCGGGTAAGCTTGCATGGAGAATTACTTTTACCCGGGAGAAAATCCACCGCCGCAGTGATTCACTGAGATCTTTGCTGGAGTATAAAATGCGAGGTTTCTCCCCTTCTCGTTTGTTCGTTTGTTTCGTTTTTTTCTCGTTAGCTAGAGAGCGGCCGCGCGAGAGAAAGAGGAGAGAGCGATCGCTCGATTCTTCCAGAGCGGCAGAGCTCCATCGCAATGGCGTCCCTTCTTCCTCTTGGATCTCCTCCTCCTCCTCCTCCTCCAGCTCCTCGTCGCCTCGCCGCCTTGATCCTCGCGGCGATTCTCGTGGCGATGCTTCTCCTCACAATGCTCGTCTCGATCGGCGACGCCGATTCGCGGCTATCGGAGGCGGTCCCAGCAGCAGCAGCAGCGAAGGTGTTCCTTTTTTCTTTCGACGTTCTTCTTCCTTGAAATCTCGATTCTTTCTTGTTCTTTCGATCGATTTCTTGAAAGATCGATCCATCGTTTGGTTTCTTTCGATTTCGCGACTCAATCCAGAGGCTTTGTGTGTTGCATGCAGCAGCGCGCGGTGGCGATGGCGGTGGGAGGGCGCAAATGGGGCGGCAGCGATCCCTGCGCGGACAAGTTTGGCGTCTTGGAGCGCGCGATCCCGTCCGGCCCCGATCCGATGCACCACCGCCGCATCAGGCTCCACAACTAGAGCAGCGATCGAGCGATAGATCGATCTCGATCGACCGATCTACAATCGACGAGAAGGAGAGAGGCAGAGTGAGATAGTTTCTGCTGTAACAGCATCATCGTTCTAGTAAAGAGTATCTTCTCGCATATTCTAGGGTATAAGCACCTTTTGGCATATTCTATATCTTGCGAGCGTGTTTACCATTTCCATAGAGAGCGGCTCTTCACTTGGATTTGTATCAAAGCCAGCAAAAATTTTCTAAGGTAATTTCTAGCACTTGGTTTGTGTGGAATGCTCACGCGCCTCATGGCGAAGAGCTCCCAAGTGCTTGTGATTCCTACAACGATCCACCATCCCTCTTCCTTGAACCACAAACCAAGCGGATTGATCCCCTAGTTTGTTTTCGTGATTCCAGGAGATAGATTTCTACGTCGGCCTAGATCAAACTCATACCTTTCAATGAGAGTTATTCATCAAAACTGTATCTCACCTTCGAGTATTGAGGCAGGAAAGATCGAGTGCTGCTTTTCGACGTGACTTCGATGTCCAGTGCGAACGACATGAACTTGTCCCCCTCACTCAGCCTTTGATCTCGCACCCTCCACGAAGGATCGATTCGTGGAAGAAAATTCCATGCCTGACAATGCAAGAAGGACAAAAGTCAAACCATCCGTCAAGCGTGGAGATAATCACCTGTATGACTTCATGAACTTGGACTGAGGCATAAAGCGCTCGAACAGCGTGGACAGCGAAGGCAAAAGCTCTGTGGCGATGATCAGACCAAGTTCCTTGCCAAAGACGCGAATTATAATAACATTGCAATGAAATCATCAGCTCTACCTGCATAATCATCTGCAGGAGTTGCACAGTCCGAATGGTCGTTCTGAGCCATCCTCCATTGGCAGCAGCATCCACCATCGCTTGAAGTATACGTATGCTTTGGTCCAGCACTGACTTCGTGTCTGTCACGTAGTCAGAAATTGGTAGCTCCAGTGGTGGGAAATGAGCCTGGTACAATTAAATTTCAGCGCCGGATTCACGACTTAGAATTTCTTTTTTACCTGAAACAACAAGATGCCTTCACATGAGGGTCATCTAGCAGCTTATTGTCCACAGGCATTCGTGCTTGCTGCGCAAGAATTGCGTGCTGGTCAGTAAACGGAGACTCTAAGCGGCTGTACCTCGTTATGCCGGACAGGAAGCTCGTCATACTCCGCAGCAGATGAAAGCAGCTGCAATAGCTCCTGTGCACAAAGATCAATCAGTCAGAAGTCGACCTTCTCAGCGATCGTACCTCCAACGAACTATCAGAGTGTATGTTTGAGCTGAAAAGTGCCACTGTTGTGTAATGAAGATTTCTTGACCATCACCACTGGAGCAGCCCAAGGAGAAAGAAATGGGTACATCACGAATCTCATGCACGCACTTCACCAATTGGAAGACAAAACCGCTGAGTCCATCAATCACTTCTTGTCAAGGTAAAGTTTTCTGTCTATTCTCTCTTAACGCTGACTGCTTCGTGTCCAAGTTGATGATCTGCTTCGCTGTTCGTTGTCCATGCGCAGTATCTTTGTGGAGCTTGCTCCCTTTAACTCTTGTGAATGGCACACCTGAAGCACTAGCTGATGCGGGGAGTGAAGATAACATAGAGTTACAGATGCCGGGACTCATTGCTTCAAAATACTAGCTTAGATTCATAACCAGCCGCCGGTACAGATACGTCCACGTCAAAAAGTAAAGAGCATCTTGCTTGGTTGCAATTGTTCCAGCGGCTATCTCTGTGGTGGAAAAGGTTTATATCACAGTTCAGAACATCGATGCAACGATTTAACGTGTGGCTACATCCTAATAGCATTCAGCAAGAGTCCGGCAAAGTACCGCAGGAGGACACAGGGACTACATGCACGAGGTGTACACGGACCACTTCTCTGGGAAGAATGTCTATGTGGCTTGAGTAGTCAAAGGCGCCAAGTTTTCTTCCACTCCCCACTCCCTCAATAGGCAAGAGATTGTGTTGAAACTGGTAGGACAAGGATAGAAAAGTGGCTAGCCATAACATTGATGAAGTATGCTGCCATTGCGAGTCTCACAAAAGAGTTCGTGCTGCCTCCTGGAGTGTGTGATTCATTCGCTCTGCTACACGATTGTGTCAGGGATTGAAAATTGCTGCTGTATTCCAGAGGAAATACAAAAACTGGCAAATTCCCTAGATGTATACTCCCTGCTTCCATCACTTCTTAGCATTTTAATTTCCTTTCCTGTTTGCAACTCCACCTAAGCTTTGTATTCCTTGAATTTCTGGAAGGCTGTTGACTTGAGCTGGAGAAACTTCATTGCTATGATTCGTGAGTAGTCGTCTATGAAGGTCATGAAATATAACTTCTTATTGCCAAAGAGATCAGAATGAATCAGTGCTAGAGGTCCTTTAGCATGATTAGTGGCTATCTGTGGAAAAGGAGCAGTGGTGTTTATTGAGTGCACACGGCTCACAAAACTTCATTGCACTTGATGAGATGATGCTTAAACCTTTTACCATCTCTTTTGCCATTAATTCTTTGATATCCTGTAGATTGGTGTGGCATGAGTCTTATGTGCCATGTCTGGAGGATGGCACATAAACTGGGATGTATACCCATCACTTAACATTTTGATTTTCTTTCCTGTCACCTGAGCCTTGTATTCCTTGAATTTCTGGAAGGTTTCTGACTTGTGATTCGTGCGTAGTCATCTATGAAAGTTACTAACTATAACTTTTTATTGCCAGAGATATCAGAATGGATCAGTGTTAGGTCCTTTAGCACGATTAGTGGCTATCTGTGAAAAAGGGAGTCTCAATGGTGTTTACCGAGTGCACACGGCTCGCAAAACTTTACACTTCATATTGCTCAAACCTTTTACCATCTCTTTTGCTGCTAATTCTTTGATGTCCTGTAAATTGGTGTGGCATGAGTCTCCTGTGCCATGTCTGGAGGTTCATTGTCTTTTTTGTCCTAGCAAAGAGAGTTCTCACTGGCTGCACCACCTTAACATTAAGTTGATAGAGACTAACATGTCTTCTACCACAGGCTACTCCATTTCCATTCACATATATGATTACACACATCCTCTTTGTGAATGTGATCTCTAGATCTGAGAAAAGCATCTTATTTACTCCAAGAACATAATAAACATTCTTCACGCTGGTGATCTATCCTATTGGCAGCTTGATGTCAATCATCCCAACACCCTCCACCTTCTATGAGTGATTGTTGCCAAGAAAAATTCCCTTATTTCCTGGAACCTTCTTCAACATGGTATATATTTGCCCCAGAATCAAGGTATACCACTTCTGCTCCTGTTCCAAGAGTGTTCTTTGCAACCTGCTGGATACTAGTGGCCATGAACAAGCTGCCTTGGTCGTCCACATCCTCCTGGTCGTCATCCTCACTACTTTCTGCTGTTCTGGCAAAGCTGGCTGACATGTTCTTTCTTGCTGCCACTCTCTTTGCCTCAGCTTTTCGCACCTCCTTAGCTTTCTTGGCCTCTTCTCATGCCCAGTGCCCTGGTTTCTTGCAAATGGTATAGTGATCATTTTCTTTTTCTTTTTGAACTTTTCTTATTTGCAGCTCTCACCCTGATCGTTCGTTGGTTCTAGTCTGTCCCACACTGTGACAGATCAGAAGAGTGCCAATTCTTTCTCATTTGAGCTCGCTTGCCCTGACTTGAGAAAACCCTCCAACGCTGTGAGGTTGGCTACAATCTGGCTGAAAGTGTTACTGGAATTTAAATGATGTGACCGCCTGCGAGTTGCATTGGTCTACTAAGCCCCTTGAAGAAAGCTATGGTCAACTCATCATCATTGATAAAGAAATATCGAAGCTACCTTGACATCAACAAGATGGCGAAGGTGTGATCTTTGGTACAACAACCAGAGCAAGATTGTTGGAACTCAAACTACAGCTGAACAGTTGTAACCAGGGGGAGACAGAATCTGTAAGAATCTACAAAAGAAAGATGGCACCCTCATCTTCCTTAACCTTGGAAGTGTATGATGGCAAAGATTTCCAGTCATGGAAAACTCAAATGCAATTTTACTTCATTTGAACTGCACCGATCTGCTTGGCGATGTCTACAAGAGCACTGGCAAAATCACTTACAGATTCTGTCTCCCCCTGTTTACGGCTCTTCAGCTGTAGTTTGAGTTCCAACAATCTTGCTCTGGTTGTTGTACCAAGGATCACACACACAGCATCCCAGTTTTCCTTTGCCGTCTTGTTGATGTTAAGGTAGCTTCGATATTTCTTTCTTGAGGCCTCGTCCCAGGACCCCTAATGCTTTGTTGTCCTTGGCATCACTCTTTTTCTCATCCACATCGTCCTCTAGCTTGATGCTGCTCTAGATCACGCTCCAGAGATCCTTTTCCACAAAGTAAAATTGCATCTAAGTTTTCCATGACTGGAAATCTTTGCCATCGTACACTTCTAAAGTTAAGGAAGATGAGGGTGCCATCTTTCTTTTTCATAGTGGGACGTGATCCTGCTCCATATTTGGGATAGGAAATCATGAATGTACTCTGGAATGCCAGCCGCTGCTAACTGAATAATTTGACCTAAGAGGGAATCACGAATATTCCCTCAATACGAGAATTCCACGAATATTCTCTTACAAGAGGAATCGAACCCTTATCATGGGCTCTAGTAAGCGACGCGCTGATGTAGCGGAGTCAGTGCAGGTAATTGGGTTCGGCCACCCATGGCGATTCTCTTACGGTATCACTGCGGGAGAAGTGATCGATTTCATGGCTCACAAGCTGGACCGGCCAGCCAAGGACATAGCGATCGAGGATACCACTGGATCCATCATAGTAAGCAGGCAAACTGAGCTGCTCCTCGGGCATAGGTACGTTTTCACACTAGTGCGCAAACCAGATACCGCTCCGAAGCGAACCTTTGCCGTAGGAGGTATTACGGATCCCCAGAAACACTACTACGTACCCCCTGATGTTACTCAGCTTGTGGACAAGCTGAAGCACGGCAAGTATTGTGTTCTATGTGGCGCACGACAAAGCGGGAAGAGCACCATGGCAATGGCTGTGAAGAGGGAGTTATCACTTGATCCAGATATCTGTGTGGTGTATTTGGACAAGGTGTCAGTGGATAAATGCTGGAGCAGGAACAGGTTCTGGGCTGCGCTTTGCGACCATCTTCATGGCAAATGTGCTGATTTGTTCCCGGCTAGGCCTACAGGCGAAGAATGCACAGATTGGAGCTTCAGGTCGCTGTTTCTTGTGAAGAACCTGCCGATCAAGGTTACACTCATTATAGATGAAGCCGACGCGTTGCTCTCAGCCTCTTCGGATTGCCTTGACGATTTCTTCAGCACTCTCAAAGGGATTAGAGACGATGATGACTACAACTTCAACGGTGTCCTTCTGGTTGGTGTTGAGACTGTCAAGGATCTTCTTGAAGCTCAATACTTGAGGCGGCGTGAAGATGCAGCGGAGCTAAACAGGGTCTATGTACCGAGTAGTACGCCCAGCCTGTATTTGCCTTTCTCGTACAGTTTCCTTTCGGAGCCAGTGAGGTTCTTAGTAGGCGATGTTGAGAACCTGCTGCAGCAGGCACAAGCCGACCTCCAAGGAGTACAGATTGAGATTGAGCGGATTGCTACGTCGGTCATAGAAATGACAGGTGGTCACAAAGGGATAGTCGGTTCATGCTTGGACTACTTGGTGGACAGGGAGCTGTGGACTAGCAGACAGTGGATTGAGGCAACTGACTCGTTTCATCTTTCGACTTATGTTTTTGGACAGCAAACTTACTCTAAGATTCTGTCCGCTTTCAAGAAGGGTGCAACTGGCCGTGACTTTGATCTGCTCCTGTCGTTCCTTAAAGAAGACAAGCGTCACTGCAATGATCAGATGGTGATGCTGGAGCTGCGGAATCTCATTGCTCAAGGTGTATTAATCGCACAGGAGGCAAAACCGGATGGTTATGACGTGCGGATTTCTTCACCAATGCTACGGAGTATTATATTGCGAAGATGTGTTATCACGAGCGGTTCGGTGGACCCTCCTGCACAGGCGTTGCGGGTTGATCCTCTGTGGGTTGTTTTCCAGGCAATTAGAACTTTGGATGGGGAGGCATTGTGCAGGCCAGAGTGTATAAAACGGGCAGGGGAGTTATCCAAGTATTCTTACCAATTCATGTTGTTCACCAGGATAAAGGCTGTTTTGACGCAAGCGTACCCCTTGGTTGATGCGAAGCTCGTCCCTAAAGTTAAGATAGCTGCGGAGTATCTTGACAAAAGAGACACGCAGGTAGGCATCTTTGTTTTGTTTTGAGGCTCTCTGATTTCTGAGCTCGGCTGCAGGAACGGCTTGACATACTAGTCCGGAACAACGACAACTTTTCCAAGTTTGGCTGTGAGTTGGTTGTCAACGATGATGTGGAAGGTTACGTATCGAAAGCCGAGCGGTATGCCAAGCAGCATTCTGCTCAAGTGTTTGTGATTAATGTCACAACGGAAGACTCGCCAATATTAGTCGTTCCAGAACACGGGTGTGTGGTTTTCCTTTCAGTACAGCTTTTTCCGAGTGGGAACAAGACCAGAGCTAAAGTAACCATGGTGGAGACATCGGACGTCCGAACGGATTTCGAGTTGGAAATGAAAAATTGGGATGGCAAAATCTCGTTTGACTACCTAGTCTAAATGAAGCCTCGGTTGAATTACTTCGGTACTAAGTAAACTTTTGTTTCAAAAACAAAATAAAGAACTTTTGAGTGACAAAGTTCTTTCATGTCCGGATCTGAGAGAGTTTCTGACTGGTTTTGGCAACAGATGCTGCCAATGGGTATGGGGGACGTGCATGGTCGAGTTATACTGGTTTGCAATGAGGCCGGTGAGGCAATTGATGGAGGAGCTGGAGAGGAACGAAGCCGCGGGAGTGGAGTGGAGTCGCAAGGTGAGGACTCGGCCATCAGCTTTGGTTCACGCGGGGAGGTCTCTCGATCTAACACGGACGTGGCGACCTACCGTTTGGCCGGCGCCCAAGGCGGAGCACTGGAGTCTTTACGCGATTAAAATGTACTACTCCGTGCCAATCCTCGACAACCTCTTGTGAGTTCATCTTTTCCTTCTGTTTTTGTGCTTTTGTTCTGATTCTTTTCTGTGTCAATCAAGAGCAACAAAGTAGAAGTTGTCGTAGGTCCTTCGTTTCCTAACTCGATCCAAGGTGAAAGCTCCACCCAAAGAAACAT